GCTGTTAATCACCGAGAAAATTTTGAGAATTGAAGTTTTGCAAGACATACGTGACTCATCATCTGATGCGACTGTCTGGTGACATCACTTCTCTCTTGAAATAAGATATGAATGATGATTCAATTTTTGTTCCCCGCGCTTGTGCTAGGGATTGAGGATATTCATAAACCATCTTACCAGAAAAGAAGAGAAAACCGTGCAGAAATATTGCTTGCCTTTTTAAGTTGTAAGAGCTACGAACTGAAAGAAGAGAAAGGTTATCGAGGACAGTGTTAAATTTTTCCGACGGGTTAGACACTGTTCAGTCGTAAGAAGAGACAAAATTAATAAAATTGATCTCCTTATATAATTTGTCAGCTGCTTGGAGCGATTACCTGTTGTAGGATATCAATTGCATCATAACATTTAACACGGCTTTGCAGTTGTCTCTTTCTCTTTGACCGGAGAGAAAAAAAATAGACGTCTTCTAACTGTTGCCTTAACACATTGTGTGAGATAAGACCCTGAGAGATACTGAGAGCAGACCAAAGAGATGCCTATGGAAGAAATCTGGCAGACGAAACTTCCAACTCTTGTTGATAGAACCACTTCTATTTTCAACAGTAAGTTACTGAGCGATGTAAAATTTGTCGTTCCGGTGTCGACTGCGGAAAGTGAAAGTAAGAAAGTGATCCCAGCTCACAAGTTTGTTCTTGCCATCAGTAGTCCTGTGTTCTTTGCCATGTTCTATGGTCAAATGGCGGAGACTAAAGACTCTGTTGACCTGCCTGACTGTGAGTACGAGAGTCTGTTGGAGTTGTTCCGTTTCTTGTACAGCGACAAAGTGAATTTAAGCGGAAGTAATGTGATGCAAGTGTTGTACTTGGCGAATAAATACATGGTGCCTTCACTCTTTGACAAGTGCACAGAATACCTTTGCAACAACTTGACAACATCCAACGTGTTTTGTATCCTGACACATGCTCAGAAATTTGGCGGTAAATCTTTAGAAGATCGATGCTGGGAGGTGATTGAGCGGCGAACCGAAGAGGCTGTGACTTCAGACGAATTTGTTACAGTTGAGCGATCTGTTGTTGAATCTGTTGTCAAGAGAGAAGTATTAAATGTGAAAGAGGTGGAACTGTTCAAAGCTGTTGATCGCTGGGCCACAAAGGTGTGTGAAAAGGACATTCCAATAGCCCCCAGTGATGGAGAAGAAAAGAGACGAATTCTTGGAGATGAGATCGTTAAAGCAATACGATTTCCACTGATGTCGGAAGAGGTGTTTATGTCTGAGGTGCTTAATTCTCACATCCTTGCTCTTAATGAGGTTGAAGATATGATAAAGCATTACAGAGGGGTTCTTCAGTCACCTTTGCCGTTTAAGAAAGGCGCGAGGGGTAAAATTGACTACATCCGTTGTAACCGATTTCAAAAGTTTAATGCTCCGTGCAGTGGAAGCGATGGTTGGTTAGGTGCCGGGTATTACAGTGTTACAGTCCCAAGCTCCGGTGGTTCTTGGTCTTACAATGGTGCAGCGGCTGACAGTGTCAATTTTACAGTCAACAAGCCAATCATGTTACACGGAGTTCAACACTTCGGTTCTGTAGGTGGCAACTACACGGTTTCCACTGAAGTTAAAGATACCACCCACAACTCTTGTCTTGGAAAAGAATCAGGAACTTACACCTCAGAAAAGGAAGACAGGAACAATTATTATGGCTTTGATGTATTGTTTGATCGTCCAGTTTCGCTGGAAGCAAACAAACAGTACACCTTAATGTCTGTTATCGAGGGTCCTTTGTCATGGTATGGAGCGGAAGGACAAATGTCCGCTGAGTCAGGAGGGGTGCAATTCAGTTTCAGTGATTCAGACGATGATTCTAACAGCACCTCGGTTACAAACGGCCAGTTTCCAGTCATTATTTTCAATTAATTTCTGGGTACACTACTAAGTGGTTTCTCTTTTTTACACGTTAAGTTTTTCAAGACTTCAATTGAAGCTACGTCTTTTACGGATGAAAGAAGTCGAAAAAGATTCTCAAGAAATTAGCATCTGGCAGTTAAAAGAAAGCTAAATGAATTTCGAATTTGGTCCGTTAGTTTTTCTCAGTTTAAGATTTTTCTAACGTTCGTATGCGTGAAAAGGCACCAAATAGGTCGTTTGATTCTGGCCCCTTTGATTCCATCATCAGAAAAATAGTAGAGTGGCAAAGTTTAGTTCAAGGCGTTTGTAACGAAGTTTTCATGTTTTTATCGGTACAATTTCTTGTTGATTGTTTCAATTCAATTTTGCTCTGTAGGCAAGTCGAGGCGTTGTGACCAGGAGCAATGACTTTCAAGGATTTATAAAGTTTAGAATTTTTTCAAGGTTTTCACACTGGCAGACATAAACTACGGTGTTAAACAAGGATTTTCAGCCCTGAAATCGTGATGTTAGGCTCTTGTTGAGTAAATTTTGAGGTGAAAGAACTCTTGAAAGACGACAGACTTGTATTAAATGTCGATTTTCAATAAAAGTGAAAACATTTCATTGTTCAAGATGTCTTCTTCCACAGAGTACATTTCAGAAACCTCAGAATGCCCCTCCCCGAAAAAGTCTCAGTGTGAACTGTTATACGTATCAATAGGAACCTATACTCATTAGTTCAGCGGGCGAATACATATTTTCCACAATAAGAGTAAGAGGAAAGAAATTACTGTCGTTGAAGAGAATTGAAAGCGGTACCTTACTAGGCGACAGAAGAAACTGGCATCGCCTTTACGGTAAGCCGAACCTCGTTTATTTTCAACCACAATGTACTGAGCGATATGAAGTTTGTTGTTGCAATGTCGAATAACGGAAGCGAAACTGCCTAACTGTGAGTACGAGAGTCTGTTGGAGTTTTTTCGTTACATTTACAGCGACACTGTCGTTGGAGTGAAATTAAGTGGAAGCAATATATGATGCAAGTTCATTACTTGGCGAAAAAATTGATACCTTTGCTGGCTGAGAAATGCTCTGAATACCTGAAATGGATCCTGACATCATTCGGCGCCTTCTTAATTCTTCACTACGGACAGAAATTTGAAGATTAACGTTTGGAAGGTCGATGTTGGGAAATAATTGGATTATACACTGAAGAACTCATGTCAGATGATTTTGTTACTGTGGAGCGATCTGATATCGAGTGTCTTGTAAACAGGAGAGTGTTGGTTATCACAGAGGTAGAATTGTTTTGTTCGCTGGGCCACAAAAGAATGCGAAAGGCAAAGTATATCTTCTGATGGAGAAGCGAAAAGACGAAATTGTAAAACCAATACGGTTACCATTGATGTCGCAAAAGGAGTTTACCTCTGCTGTGTTAAATTCTCTATTATCGACTGATGAAGAGTTTGGCATCGTTATGAAATACTACAGCGATTAATTCACGTCTCCTCTATCATTCCGAGACATTCCAAGGCGTAAGAAGAAACACCCAATCGCTCACACGTTCCTGGTTGTAAGAAGAAATCTCTAAAGGGCAACTGCGTGGACTTCCATAGGTGTACTGAGGAGTTCTTAGCGGAAACCCGCTTTCTCGCTGCAAAAGATTTAACTATTCCAGTCTTCTAAATATCTTTAGGGGTTATTCTGGCTTCAATTCTCAGTCGACAAACCCATCACGTTACTTGTAGTTCAGCACTTTGGCTCGGAAGGTGTGAAGAGAACATAGTATCTACAGAAGTTATTGATACAACAAACAACGCATCGGTTGCACATCAATCTAGAACATACCCTTCAGGGATGGACGACATTGAGAATTATTACGGTTTTCATGTATCGTTTTATTGTCCTGTTTATTTGGAGACACATAAACAGTACAAGGTGTAGTCGATTGTCGACGATCCTATCTCATGGAGCGGAAAACAAGGACAGACATTTGTGCCGGAATCCGAAGGGGTGCGATTCACTTTCAGTGATGCAGAAGATGGTACAGCTGATGACACTTCCGTAGTGCACGGCTTATTTCCAGCTTTTCTCTTGTCTTAATAATATCACGAGTTCGGAAGATGCTTCAGCGGACGATACTCATTCTAATCAAGACCTCGCGCGCTGATTTTCCCAACAGCTACCAGGGGCAAACAAATAACTCGCCTTTTCCAACTTGAAACAAGTAACACTATTACCATGTTTGGTATACATTAAACAGATCAAAACGAGGTTGTTTCTTCACTTAGTATCATTATTTGTATCACTTGTCTGTTTGATCAACTCGCAGAATGTCTTCCAATCAATTACACTATCTCCATTATTCTATCTATGTCAATCTAAAACCTTATCTTCAAAATTCCCGTCTTCTTCCTTTTCACATATCATTTAGGTCACAAACTCATATTAAATTTATTCATCAAGCAAGCATGTATCGTCGTCTTTTATGTTGATCGGGTTTAACGCATGGTTGCGTCGGCGTCGAGGGACCAATTTGGGAAAATAATTGGAAGCACGAAATTTCTTGCTAATTTACATTTTACTTTAATTTGTTTTTTATCCTGAAGTGTGCAGTTGATTTTTTAGTTTGCCGACCTTCCTAGTTGTTGTTTAGTCAAATGATGCTTGACAAGACGAAAGGATTCTAAAAGAATACCACTTAGTTGAGAAACACATGCGTAACACGTGAATTAACAGCTTATAAAATTCCTTTTGTCTTAAATAGAACAATTGCAAACTTGTGGTGACGATTGCTGTTTGAGCTATTAAGCACATCATAGCCAGGCTGCAAGCAAGCCCTTAACCTCCTAATTAGCGCTTCGGTACGAACCTCCTTTGCCCAAGACGAGCCGACGAGAGGTGTACAGTGAGGGTCTGGTACTGCGTTTACGTTTGTTGATCAATATAACCCACTGGTTTGTGTCAAAATGACAGGTCTTGTCATTTTTCACCAATCAGAATTTGTTTCTTTTGTTTCTCGCACTTTTTTAATTCAAGCAGCTGTCGTTTCCAATAGATCTTATTGAAGAGGATTACTTAAGTACATGTGTAAGCGCGGTGAAAGAAGAGCATGGCAATGACCGAGGAAGTAGGCTGGCAGACGAAGCTACAAGGTCTCGTAGAAAGAACCGCGTTTATTTTCAACAACGAGTTACTCAGCGATGTAAAATTTGTCGTCCCATTTTCGCCTAGTGAAATTGAATTACGTGCGAAGGTAATCCCAGCTCACAAGTTTGTGCTCGCAGTCAGTAGTCCCGTGTTCTTTGCCATGTTCTATGGTCGAATGGCAGAGACTAAAGACTCTATTGAACTGACTGATTGTGATTATGAGAGTCTGTTGGAGTTGTTCCGCTTCTTGTACAGCGACAAAGTGAATTTAAGGGAAAGTAATGTGATGCAAGTGTTGTATCTGGCAAACAAATACATGGTGCCTTCACTCGCCGAGAAATGTTCAGAATATCTCCGAGACAATTTGACAGCATCAAACGCGTTCAGTATTCTGACGCTCGCTCATAAATTTGAAGATAAAAATTTGGAGTATCGATGCTGGAAAGTTATTGAGAAGCAGACAGAAAAAACTGTGAGAGGAGACGAATTTGTTACAGTTGATCGATCTGTAGTTGAATCTGTTGTGAAGAAAGAAGTGTTGAATGTGACAGAAGTGGAACTGTTCAAAGCTGTTGATCACTGGGCTACGAAAGAATGTGAAAGGCAAGGATTAACTGTTGATGGAGAGAGCAAAAGAAGAATTCTTGGAGAGGAGATAATTCGAGCAATACGGTTTCCGTTGATGTCACTGAAGGAGTTTGAGTCAGTTGCGCTCGACTCTAATATTCTAACCATCGATGAGGTACGCGACATAATGAACCATTTTAAGGGCGCTTTAAAATTACCTTTGCCATTTATGGACAGCGCCAGGATCCATTTCCGTTGTAACCGATTTCCAAAATTCAATGTACCGGCCGGAAGTGGCTGGTACCACAGTGGAGCGTACAGTGTAAATTTTACCATCAACAAGCCTTTAAAGCTTCTTGGAGTGGAACAGTTTGGCTCAGAAGATGGCGAGTATACCGTGTCTACTGAAGTTAAAGATACAGCCCACAACTCTTGTCTTGGAAAAGTATCAGGAACGTACACTTCAGTAAAGGACGATACGGACATCTACTTTGGCTTCGATGTAATGTTCAATCGTCCAGTTTGTTTGGAGGGAAATAAACAGTACACGTTGGTGTCAGTTGTAAAGGGTCCTGTGTCATGGTACGGAGAAGAAGGACAATTGTCCGTTGAATCCGGAGGGGTGCAGTTCACCTTCAGTAAATGTACATTCAAGAATGATAACGGTCACAGCTCAGTGACTTCAGGCCAGTTTCCAGCTTTCATTTACAGCTAAATTTTGGTTACAGTACGTAACAGAATCACTATTTGGGGGACAAGTCGTTATTCGTGGCCGAGGGGGTGGGGTAGACGATTTGGGTGGATGAAGGATCTCGGGGGTTCACGTGGTTTCCAGGGGGATAAATAATGACCGGTCGCTTGAGTGTTTTCATATTTCACTCCGAAATTAGAGGTCTATGAGCCATGTGAACAGGATGGTGTCCTGGCGGTTTTAGGATACTAAATACTTGTGATGGGTAAAATAATTCACCTCTCAGAAAATTACACCTTGATATTCAGAACCAAATGAATCGCAAACCATATATAGTTTGCACAAATGTAAAGCTGCCCAATAAAATTAGATTTTTATAAGATGTAGCAATTTTCTATTAAGTGTCGAAAGTAAGGCGTGATTGCTTTGGTTTTGATTCGCTACTCTTTAAGCTTCGTCCATAAAATTGGCGCTACTCTTGACCAATTGAATACAGAATTGAAAGCAACTTAGCCTCCTGCGTTTCTCCTGCTCCTCTGGCACTATGCCACCACCCCACGCAGCAAACAGTGAGCTGTTCGTAAAAATTTCTCCCACACGTTGCAAAAACATATAAAGGATAATAAACATAATATACGTGGCCTCCATTTTGGCGAACGCTCTTATATTTTATCCTTGGGCATTATCTGTTCCTCGAAGCTCACAGTTTCCTCGAGCATCCCTCTCAGAAAACTGTTCGCTTCTCAGAACAGACGTTCGCGAATATCCGTTCATATTTTCGCGCCAAATGGAGGCTATTGTTTGTCTATCGCTCTGACACAATGTGGCGTGACATGGAATATTTTCATTCAATCACATTGCATAAGCGGCCAATATTTGCAGTGAACATTGTTTACATCGTCATAGTATATCTATTAGAAAAGCTAGACCTGATCGGAAAGTGACGATGGCTGTTGCGGAAGAAAACTGGCAGACGGCATTATCAACTATCACTCGGAGAACTACGTTTATTTTCAACAACGAGTTATTAAGCGATGTGAGGTTTGTTGTTCCAGTTTCGACTGAACAAGGTGGAATTAACATGGCGATCCCGGCTCACAAGTTTGTGCTCGCCATCAGTAGTCCTGTATTCTTCGCCATGTTCTATGGTCAAATGGCGGAGACTAAAGCCTCTATTGAACTGCCTGACTGTGAGTACGAGAGTCTGTTGGAATTGTTTCGTTTCATGTACAGCGACGAAGTGAATTTAAGCGGAAATAATGTGATGCAAGTATTATACTTGGCGAATAAATACATGGTGCCCTCTCTAACTGAGAAATGTGCCAAATATCTTCGAGAAAATTTGACAGCATCCAATGTGTTATGTATTCTGCCGCAAGCTCAGAAATTTGAAGATAAAGATTTGGAAGATCGCTGCTGGAAAGTGATTGATAAACAGACTGAAGAAGCTGTGACGTCAGATGAATTTGTAACAGTTGAGCGATCTCTACTTGAATCTGTTGTAAAGAGAGAACTACTCAATGTGAAAGAAGTGAAATTATTCAAGGCTGTTGATCGATGGGCCACCAAGGGATGTGAACGAGAAGGGATCCTCCCTGATGGACTGGCGAAGAGACGAATTCTAGGCGAAGAGATCGTGAAAGCAATACGGTTTTCCATGATGTCGCAGGAGGAGTTCGCTACAGTTGTGACTGATTCTCACATCCTCAACATGCAAGAGGTTGAAGAACTGATGAAACAATTCCGTGAGGATACATCAGTATCATCTGAGTCATTCTTGAATGTTTCAAGAGCGCGTTGCCTTAAGTATGTCCATCGATGTAGTAGATTTACAACGATTGTACCTCAATCTTATGACTCCGGGTGGGGATATACACGCGGTATGTCTGATAGCCTTTCGTTCTTTGTTAGTAATCACATAAATTTACAAGGAGTTCAGCATTTTGGGACTGAAGGAGGAAAATACACAGTTTCTACTGAAGTCAAGGATGCCACAGATGACTTATCTCTCGCAAATCAGTTTGGATTTTACTCAGCAACGATGAATAACACTAATCAATTCTATGGATTTGACGTATTGTTTGACATACCAGTTTGTTTAGAGCCAAACAAGGTGTACAAGGTAAAATCGTTTGTCACTGGCCCGAATTCGTGTTACGGGGACAAAGGGAAAATCTTTGTTGATTGCGAAGGAGTAAGATTCGAGTTCTGTGAGGGGGGTGATAATAACGGAACGTCTGTGAAACGGGGCCAGTTTCCTTCTTTGATTTTTACTAAGATAAGATGAAACAAGCTAGATTCTGCTATAAAAATCAATAGAAGAGTCATTTTTACGATATGATTGTAAATCCTTTCAATCTTAGGGAGATAAAATCGCTGATAAGTTTTACTTAAACATAATTGCTGCCGATGAATAATAAAATTTATGGAATAATGCATTGACACAAGAGCGTCACCAAGTTTACCCCAATAAACAGAATTCATTTCGTTATTTTTTTAACAGAAAAATTTATTAAATTCAATAATCCTTACGTGACACGAGGAGGCAACGACTTATAGGGATTCTGGTAATTGTGGTCAAATGAGAGAATAGTGCGAAAGCAGTTACGAAACCTTGAAACATTCACAGCAAATGTAACTCACAAACAAGGCTATGATGATCTCACAATACTACCCTAACCCTAATGTTTGTTTTAAATTGCAAGTCGAGTAGCAATCTATGTCTTGAGAAGTGTTTTTTTCAACCACTCCCTTGGGTTTGTGTTTGTTGTCGCTCTGTTTGATGCTCAGTTTGAGCTACCGGCTGTTAAAAATCTGGGCTATCAATAAGACAACCACTGTGATACCAAACAAACAAACAAATAAACGAACTAACCAACCAATCAACCACTGAACAAACAAACATCTCCACTGAAGGATAGTTTTGCCTTTACCACTCTTGTTGGTATATTGGCCACCAAATCACAGAAAATTTGCTTCAATCCTAACATTAAATGTTCATGTTCATGTAGACTGGAGCAGTTTTTTCTCTAAGTCAGACCAAATGTCCTTACCAGTTTCCAAACAGTTTATTAGCATTTCAACTTTTCGTGAATCCAAGCTTCCCTCCTAAAGTAAAAGAAAAGTACCTGACATAAGAATGACAAAGAAATTGTGTTGTGCTATAGCAGATAACTTTTTGTTTTAAAAATTATTGGGATTACAAGTCATTTTCTTATCTGCAGCCATAGTCAAAATTGAATTAGTGTGGCCCCCTTCCACTTTACAGTCACCTGATCAGACTTGGCCAGACTTCAACTCAGTTTTTTCAGATGATGTAAAAAAACAAACAAACAAACAAAATTGTTGACCAGTCTCTGTAAGGTTACAACAAATGACCATGAAAATGCATCCTAATTTTTTTCGTTGGATCCTCAATTGACCATGCTTATAAAAACATATGATGTATGTACAAAATTAAAACAATATTCCAGTATATACTGAGCTCTTTGAATTAGGAAAATTCCGAGGGCTACCCTCATGTTTTTCTTTTCAAGATATGTTTGATGGATAGATTTTTGTTCTTATTATCTATGTTTATAGATACTCACAACTAATCCCACAAGGAACACACCTGTCGAAGCCGATCCAAGTCATCACCAAAACTAGAGGTTGCCATCTCCATGTAGTAGTCATGGAAAGATTTTGTTTTGTCTTTGCTCTGTAAAGGGAAAATTTTATATCTTACATTTCTCCCACTCAGAAGACTCAGTTATGATTGATATTTTATCGCAAAACAAAGAAGAAAAAAATGAAATTTAAAAATTACAAATAAAAACAAATGGTTACTATTCTTGCAGAAATGCTCCCTTTAGACTTTGAGTATGTTTTATGTAACAAATACAGGTAGATTCCATGTTTCTGTTTTGTGACATACACAGATGACTTAAAAATGTGGTAAGAACAAAAAAGTGGCACCCAAGGTGCAGTCGAGTGTCACTGAGGTACTTACCACATTTTAAAGTCATCTGTGATCTATTACTATTACTGTGCAAACTCACATGGAATCTGGATGTAATTGTTTTACATGATAACAAAACAAAATTTTAATGATGATGACCTCATTTGTGTGTCTGCCCTTCAACAAATCATAGGAAAGACCCAATCAAAATATGCGTGCAATTCATCTTATCATTTAAAACTAAATAACAATTAAATGGTTTTCTTCAGTAACCTCATTCATAGAAGGTTCCTTTTCTTCACTTTTTTCAGCATATTTGCTTGGAGTGTCCTCCTGTTAAAAAAGCACAAGATTGGAAAAAAAAGCATTAAATAGATAGACCACTCACAAACAAGCCAAACTGGTGGAGAGAAAGACAGACCAGACGTTAATATAAAGACAAAGCAGACAGTTGGACAGACAGATAAGGGCAGACACACAGAAAGAATAGAATGCTAGATAGACAAACTTGACTGCTGACAGAAAGACTACACTAGGAGACAGTCAGACTGACAGACTAGACTGTCAGACTGAAAGACCACTCTTAGACTCTTCCATGCCTCTCTCACAGTTATGCCTTGTAATGCAATTATGAAAAACACTTTGTTTGATTCATTTTAGTTTACTCCTTGATTTTTTCTGTGTAAAATGCATGCAACAGTGTATACACAATTTAGTATTACTAAAAAAAAAACAAGAAAAAAAACAAGAAAGAAAACAGAAACAGTCATATGCATGGACCTCAGAGTTGTCTTGACAATCATTTTCTTCTAATTTCTTGTCTAGTTGTTCCATTTCTTGGCAAATCTGTTGGTTAACCTGCATAACCTGTCTCCAGAGGCCCAATTTAACATACTCATCTGGTGGGGCTAGGGATGGTTTTATTTTCACATCCTGTCCACAAAAAATAAAAATATGATATTAAGTAAATGAAAAATTGTCGAGTACTATGTATATTTAAAAAGTCACTCATTGTATCTGATTAGCGCACTCTAGCTGTGAATCACTAACCACTTAATAGATGAAGAAGTGTTTATTAATTCAATGTGAGCCTAACTGGGGTCAAAGTATTGGAGAATTTTGCTTCAGAAACTATGATATTTATCACCACTTCACTTCTCATCATCACCATGAAAGGGTACCCCCTCCTTTTAGGAAACTATGATACTGACCAAGTTTTATAATTCCAAAGAGTAACCAAACCAACTGAAATTGTCTTTCACCCTCTACACCCTGACATCAGTATGCATTCTCCACATTTTTCTCTACTGTTTACTTAGGAATTTGTTCAAAAATCAAGAGCTGCTTTAGTTGGTAACTATTTCCTGTTCTCAAAGCCTTCGTGTTGGATTAAGGGGAGATTTTGTAAGGAGAAATTAGATGCTGGTCACTGTTAGGGGTTAAAGGGTTGAATGTGCCAAAACATTGACTGTAGAATATCAGTTTTGTCATACATGATCTACATGATATTTTAAAATACAGAAATTGAAATTAAATCATTAACTGAACCTTGAGGAAGACATCCATAGTAATATCCTTCATGAAACTTCTCCCTGTGAGTAATACAGAATGACACCAAAATTAGACTCTGCTGTCTAGCTCTTGAGCAATGTTGTACTACTTTTTTTTTGTTAATTTCATTGGTACCAGCTACTTGTCAATTGTACATTAGACCATAGGAAAGATCATAGTCCTAATTTACCACACTTGCTTGGACTAATATTTCAGTTTTAGAAGTCTTAAGCCTTTAACTCCCAAGATCTGACTGTTATTGTCTTCTCTAACTGATACACATTTCCTTAAAAATTGGTTATGAGAATTTGGTGTTCAATCAACTGAAGGTAATATCTTGTACCTGATAAGTTTGAGTAATGTCACTACCTTTTTGCTGGATAATGTATGAATACTGTAGGGAGAAGTTACATGTTTATCACTTCTGGGAGTTAAAGGGTTTATTCAGTCTCTCACTTGCATTATGGACTGTATGTATCTTAGAATCTGTATCTTATAAACAACTGTTCAATTTACATTTAGAAAGAGATAATAGGGGGATGTGTAGGTACAGGCACATGATGTTGCTTATAATTTGTACTGTAGACCTATTGTATCCAGGTTTCAACTAAGATCAAAAGAGAGAACTCACAACACAGTAACAAATTGTAATACCTTTTTCTCAAAATAAATCAACAGTAAAGGCAAATAAGTCTGATTCTGCTTGCTCTCTTGAAAGTCTTTTAACCAACCCTTTCTATCCACACAGGCACAGTACAGTTGAATACAGAGATAACTCCCATGATCCAACAGTCTAATTCATTATTGATAGTTGTGTATAGTTGCTGTTAGGTTACATGCAAAGTACCTTCATGAAGCTTTTTGAATAAAAATGAAATTTTTTTGATCAATCCTGAGAGTTTAAAGGATTCCTCTGATATTTTTTTTGCGTATCTGCTGACAAAAAAGAAACAGGAAAAGAATAAAAGATTGCAAGTTAATGGAAACAAGATTAGATATTTCTAACATACTAAGTGTAAATAACACTTGGACATATTCTTCCCTAAATAATAAAATTCCTCTCTGATTAATCTGAGAAAGCAAATGAACAGGCTATCAATCCCAAGAAAATACCCAAAGTATACCTCTGTTGCATTTCAAAAGGCAGTGCCTTGATTTCATCTAAGGGGTTCCACTCTACAATTGTTAAAAATTAAATATAACATTAATAACTAATAAAGGTACAGAAGCATCTCACAATCACTATACTCCAAGGTTCTTTCTAGGGTTAGTGAATGGCAAAATGTTGGACTTGTGAGGTGCTAAAAATCCCTACTTGATGATTCTAGACAGATACTAATGGATTTCATTAAATAAATATAACTCATCAGTGACTTTGCTTTACTAAAATGCATGGTAATATTATATGTATGAAAAGAAATTCTGTGTCAGAGTTCCACATTACTATCTTACTAATTCACTTTTGCGATATAACAGCTTCTTAATCAAAACCATTTCATATATTAATGATCAGAGTGGTAAAATCAAGCTAGGACTCTTGCTACTTGTTCACTAGAAACCCTTTCCTATTAGACCAAATCCCAAACCAAGAGGAAAGTGAGGCTTTCGGATGACCAAAACAACATGTGCCATAAATGAAATCTTGACACTCATTTCAAAGTTTGACAAGATTTTAAGATCACACCCAAATTTTGTGACACAAAAGATTTCTTAACCCTTTAACTCCTATGAGTTACCAAGAGAGAATTTCTCCTTACAATATGAAAAGAGAATAAAGAACAACAATAAGGGGGTTATTAGTTGATCCAATCCAAATTCTCCAAACGAACATCACAAGAATTATATGGCAGTCAGTAAGGAGAATTACCAATGAGATCTTGGGAGTTAAAGGTGTAAGGTACCGTGGGCCACCCCTTTTACCATTAGAGTCTCTTATTTGCTTCATTTGTTCTTATCTTTTTGAACACTGAGTGGGATGTGGCACATGATATACCTTCTTTTAGTGTCTCCAATACACCACCTTTTGATTCAATTTTTCTGAAAAAATAAGATAAATAAAAAGCACAGTAATAAATGTTGTACTTGGCCCAAAGTACTTACTGAGTCTGATGGTCAAACAAATTAAAAAATGGTTAAAAATCCCTGTTGGACGGGAATTTTTATCCTCAGAACTATCTGATTGTTGTTGGTTTAACCCTTTTACTCCCAATAGTGACCAAGACAGAATTTCTCCTTAAAACATCAAAACAATCTCAAGTGAACAAGTAATGGGAATATAGAAAAATATCAATTGGTGGATTATCATTTGATTCAATACCAAATTCTCCAAACTAAAACTATAAGCAGTGTTTGGCAGATAGTAGGGAGAATTACTAAAGAGATCATGGGAGTGAAAGGGTTAAGGGGAACCTAGTCTGGCATTTTATTTTTTCAGTTCAATCCTTCACAAGTCAAATTATGTTATGTATCCCAAATCTTTGTAAATGAACCATGAATTATACTTGAATCAAGAATCACAGAGCTGCTGATTAAATAGACCATCATCATGTTTTTATTCTTCGCCATAATCTTGTTCTGTACTGTAACATAACATTAACAGGTTGTGTGACAAGAACTGAAAGGTTACCTACTTAAGCCTGAGATTATATCCAGATTGGAACAAGAAGGCAGGAGCGGTCCTTTAACCACAAAGCTTAGTTAAGTACCTCGCAATGTTCTCCTCACTCTCTTGGCTAGTTTCTGTCATTTATCATTAGGTTTTATTCAATGACCTAAATGAGGTGTCGCATGTATTTACCTTTTCTTTGCGTTATAGAGACCGCCGATTCCGAAGCAAGTGCAAATGCTTTGAATGGCCGATAAAACGTCCAGTGGAACATGTTTATAAGAATCACCTGGTTGGAAAAATTGCAATCAAAACAACACAGTAAACCAATCTTATATTTCAGTATACTTCCGATCAAATGTGATGAGATGTCAAAAAAAATAAAGAAACGAAACTTGCGATGTTGTGAATGGACTTTAATAAAAAGTCTTGTGCGATCGTACCGAGAAAGTCTTCCTCGTCCCGTTTGGAGTCTATTTCTTCTTGTTTCCTCTTTTTCTGTTTATTTTCCTTTCTATTCTCGCGCTGCAAATCCTTCGTTCGCTCCATCTTTTAGTGGAACAAAAGGACACGTGTGTATCGCAATGTGGCGCGTGCGTGAGAAATTTAAACCGCTGGTGAATAATTACCCATTAGGGAAGGGAGGATAACGCAAAAAAAAAACTTTCCACACTACAAAATAACTTATAAATCAGCTTTGGAAAAAAAAATGATACTAAACCTCATATTTCATCATATTAAATCTTAAAATTGACTTAAATTAGTTCATTTACATCCTTTCCATGAGTGTTTTGAGTTAAAATTTTAAACTAACTTACCCTACTCTACTTAGTGGAAAATTGATCACATGAAGAAAGAATATTCGTGACAGATTGAAGGGAGAATTATGCCACCTGTTATTTCTTGGTGGACCACAATATTTCATTGAAAAGAAAGCGCGGTAAAATTTCAAAACCGTTATGACCTCTGTGGACAATGATTTGCACTGAAAGAGAGAAATCTGCATCGCTAAGACGGTTTTTTGTTGAACAATACGTCTGTGCGTGAGTCGAGTTTCGAATTTCCTGTCACTATAGAATTTCCAATGGGTGGAAAGAATTCAAACATCTGCCATGGATTTATGTGATATAAGGTGAAGAATAAGACGCTAAAGATCACATATCTGTCTATCAGGTTTTAATTAACGAGCTGAAAGACATTTTGCGTCGCTGGTAGGAAAGTCGGATCTGTGTTGATTTTCGTGTGTTACGCGTTGAAATTATCAACCTCGCCATCTGGTGTTTTTTCTTGATCTTTGACTTCGAAAAGTTTTGATGATATTAATTGACTTTTTTTAACAAGAATTAGTGCTAACAGTATTGCAATGTGCTCTGTAATGGATTTGGCGGGCCTCAATCCATTTCTTAGAAATTCAGCCTAATGCAAGCCAGCAATTGCGATGGATATTCCAAGCTCAAGTTTAAAGTTTAATTGAAAGAAAATGTTCCCTCCACGAAGAAGATGCAGAAAACTGCTGGTCTGGATTGCTCTCGCTGTCGTTGCACAAATAATGTTTACCTTATTCCTGCACGGAGAGTTTAATTTCGCGCCAATCGAGCGCACGAGGACGACAAAGAGAATTACAAGGAGACAGTCACGTCTACGACTTCAGAGTCAAGGTGGCGATCGTTTGGAAGAAGATCATAAGTTTATCGCTCGTTCAAAGCTAGAACATGCTCGTGGTAAAGACGAGGGTACAGAATATGTCGAAAGTTTGGTAGTTAATGAAATTAAATCAACAGATTTTCCGCGAATGTCTGGAAGGAATCTAAAGAACCCTTTGCGTGTCAACAGACGAAATCAATCCATTAACCTTTCAACAGCGATAAGCGGCCTTCAAGTAGTCAAAGAAAGAGAAATATTTGTTGATCAGTCTGCCAGAAAGAAGACTTATTTTGATCACGACTTGAGAGCAGAAGATCCGAGACGATTGCACAACCTCACAGTGCTGGAAGATGTATTTATTTCAGTCAAGACAACTGGTGATTACCACGAAGCGCGCGTCACACTCTTGATTGACACATGGTTTCAGAATGCTAAAAAACAGGTGAGATTAGATTGAAAGAGGGTACTAAATGCATTACATAACTTTTCCTTCCACGCGAGCCAAATGATGTTACTGTTAACAATTTAATTTTATTTTCTACATCTGTTAACCCGCCCTGATTGGTACCTGCGATAAAATTTTTTTGGCCTTTTCCATTTGAAAATGCTTTCCACAGTCGAATCATCAAATACCCAGTAGATTTTCAAGTGTAAATATTATTCCTTTGAAGAGATACGTTTTTTGTTTTAATAGGTGTGACCTCTGACAAAAACTGCCCTTATTCAGAATTCATAAACATATCTTCTATTCAGCACACGAAATACAATCTTTAGTAACTCAAAACCGATTTCATCTCGGTCATCATGCAAAAATGAAGGTCACCGTGCCAATTTTAATTGGATTTTTTAAAATAAGTCACACGTCTATGATAAGTAAAAAAAAAACAATTTTAGACAGCTTTCATCATTCATTAGAATCGATTATTTTATATTTCCTAAATGAGGCGTTAAACCATGTTTTTAAAGGGACTCATCCATGCCAGCTTCAAACGTCTTGCATTCTCAGACAGGCTGTCCGAGTAATCTTAGAAGCTAGAAGTATTTTGTAGGGAGTAGTGGGCTACTTATGCAGAATTTCACTTAGACGCCAATTAAAGAATATTTTCTCCGGTGTCACCTTTTCTCAAACTCATTAAATGCATTTGACTGGCATTCTATTTGGGGTGATAATTACAAGATTGTTTAATTATTGATAAAGATCAATCAGACAAGCCATCCTCTGCAATTAAGTAAATGGAAAATGAAAATGTTTTTGAAAAGAATATCTGTTTTCAATTAGAATAGCACTTGACATATCTCAAAGAAAACCAAACATGCCAAATAAATGGGGAAGGAAATTTCAAAATAAATGCAGTTTTTTTTCACATGCTTCATGGATCATTCCTTAAGTTAAAGATTTTGAATTAAAAAGAATTAATTCAAGATCTACTCCAATTATAATGGATATTTGCAATGTGCCTAAATCTTCTTGTTGGTAAATTTTTATATCATATAATCTAATCTGAAAGGAATAATGCCAAGTAAAAATAGTGGATTTCTAATAAGGATGTAAACAATGATTTTCTGAAAATTTGCGAGGACCTAAATGATATTCTCTCCCAGTTTACACATATAAACATCTTCATCTTTTGTAAGAGGGAATTTCCATACTAAATTATCACGTGTGCTGCATGTTGTAAATTTTAGTTTGTTGCTCCTTTTTGATCACAAAAAGTTTAATTGCATCTGTTGAAATTGATAGGTAGTGTTGTGGTTGCTTGGAAACCACACAGGTTTAAAAAGAATTTTCCAAATTAATGCAACCAACCAAAGAATATACATGTTCTACAGAAGAATACTTTAGATAGAATATTGACAACTGAACAAGTGTGTATAGTTTTAACCCCAATGAGCAGATTTCTACAACTGTTACAGAGGGATTGACTAAAACATCACAGGCTTGGTGATTTAACCCAAATGATCAAAATTAAATCTGCTTTTTTATGGTACAATTGCAAATAGGTCTTATAAAACATTAAGATTAATTTAGGTTAGAAAAGAATATATGACACAGACAGGTAAATGACATTTTTGGAAGTTCATGCTGATCTATTTCAAGGAGATTTTAAGCATGGCCTTAGTTTGCTTTCTTTCGTTTTTTTATCAGTTCAGACTATTACGATGTATTTCAATTTGAAAATGAGTCAAAGTTTTAGGAACCTAGTCTAAGACTGGGTGAAGGTCTTTAGAATTTGCCATTGGCTAGGCCTTTCCTTTATGTTAGTGTGAAAGGGTATACTTTTTAGAATCACTCTTTTGTCTTGAAGGTGGGTTTGGATTTTAACTGTAAGGGTGTGAAACTGTGTGAGGTTTTCTTATAGTCAATAGGTTTTTCAATGTAAGTTGTTAAGGGTGCATAAATCACAATTGCTAATATGAATTTTTTCCGCTTTAGACCTTCATCATACATTCTGTAAACAGTTCTTTTAATTTTGTTGTCTTTGCTATTTTACAGGTTCATTTTTTTACTGATCGTGAGGACAACGAATTAAATGAACGTCTAGGTAAGAGGAATGGATAAACTCAAAGTAACTGAAACGCTTTCGTTTTGAGGATTGTAAACGTTTTCAAAAATTTTTACTTGTTAGAGAAGACTTCTGACAGTAGCAGAGCACTCAGTTCATGGAAAAAAAACTCAGAGTAACAGAAATGCTTTCGTTTTAAGGATTTTTAACATTTTTCTTGTTGGAGGAGACTTCTGCCAGTAGCAGAGTGCTCAGTTCATGACAAAAGAGGAACATAATGAAGGATTATTCGTTTTATTTCAGATATGGAATAATTTTGTGAAATTATGTTGAGGAAAATATTATGAATGAATGCAGTTTTTCATTGCAAAAACTGTCATTCATGGTTTTACAGTGTGGTGTGAAAATTGTATTTTACAACCGGCTTTGTTTGTGGTAAAGTTTTTACCAGTATTTTACTAGTATTTATTCACGTATTTGATCATTACAGGAGGTCACCTTATCAAGACTGCTTGTGAAACAGGGCACCAAAGGTAATCTCATAGTCATCTTCGTAACAGTTTGTTACCTCAGTCAGATCCAACCGAAAAATATATTTTCATTCTCGCCTATTTCTGTTTTTTCAGTGATGTACTGTAGCCTCATTTACGTCTTACTCTTTTGTTTTGTGTCATTTGTAGGACGAAACTTTGTTGCAAGATGCAAGCTGAGCTTGATTTCTTTGTAAAAAACTTCAACACAAAGTAAGAATCGTAAGAATCCTACGGAGGCTCATTTTACGAGCTCTGGCTACCTGTGCCTACATTAGCAAGACGTTGAACCAGCGCCGTGATTTTACTTGAATTCGTAACCAGCAAGTCGTGACAAATGGAGCTTGACTAGGACTATTACCCTTCACCCGATACAAGCAGATTCTCCGATCATCTTCGTCTGCCTTGAAACTGACCAGCTTTGTTTAATTTTCTTAAGGAGAAAACCGATCTGACCAGATGCGCGTGGAAATTTTCAAATTTGTAAGCTCGCGTAGGGAAGACATGAAGATTTTCTAAGCGTGTGTCATCGTGTCGTCTATTGACGTGCTGATTATTTTTGTTTTCCCTTCTCTCTTTTCCAGGTGGTTCTGCCATTTTGATGACGATAACTACGTCAATGTTCATACACTGGTGAAAACACTAAAAAAATTCAACCCGCTCGAGAATGTGTACCTGGGAAGACCAAGTCTGACGAAAGCGATGGAGGTAATGGTGATGATACGATGGGACCGTTTCCGCATGCACAGCAGATTAAGATATCCCTGATCTGAATCGACTCTCGAATATGGACCCTCAGTATTTATTTGTTCACAGACTTGTGTTCACCTGGAATCGTGAATTTGAATCTTCCCCAGCAATTTCTATTCTTCTTAATTTAAGATGATATACAACGTATTTTTACTCCAATACACCCTCAGAAGTGAACATACAATCACTTTTGACGATTTTTATTTTTTTGTGGAAACTTTATTGTTCGAGAAAACCTCTAATTTTCGCTTAATCAGCAATGGGCGGCAAAAAGTGTTTGGCTTTCGACGTTTCTCGTGTTTTTGACGTCATTCCTTATATGGTCATGGTGATGAATCTCATGAAGTCGTAGTTTTGACGTCAGCTGACCGCATGCGATGATCGCAAGCAAATATCCCGTTAGATAAATCAACTTTTTAATGTTCTTTTAAAGACATAACAAGGTAAATTGTGTTGTCCATCACCGTTAAATACTCTTCATGGTAACTGGACCGTTTATTTCCAATCATTAATCACTATCTGTAGAAATCAGTACTTCGTAATGTTTGTCTTGAATGAATGAAAACATAATAATAATAATAATAATAATAATAATAATAATAATAATGATAATAATAATAATAATAATAATAATAATAATAATAATTTCAACCTTTTTTGTCCTTTTGTTTCAGGCCTGGGACAGATTGGACGGATATAACGTAAGTATAAAAATGATAACAAATAATTCAACAAAAAAAAAACTCGTAATGTATTGTATACACGGGCAATAGAACCATCACAGTATTCTTCCATTAATTTACGTACTGCTTTTCTTTTAATTTTTCAGAGAAAGAAATTTTGGTTCGCAACTGGTGGGGCAGGGTTTTGTTTGAGTCATGCCCTGGTGGCAAGAATGAGCCCTCACATCAGGTAAAGCTCTCTTAAGGCCCTCTCTCCTGACGAAGAGCTGTAGACAAACATTTTGTCTTTTCACCCGAGTCAAATGGCTCACACCGCCCGAGCTTGTCCTGGTTTCTAAAACATTAAGTATCTGTTAGTATTACTGCTGCTAATTCATTCAAGTTCACCCTCCCTCCTACATTTTTCAGGCCTCTCTGACAGTTCAGGGTGCCCCCTTATAACTGTCAGTCCTGGTGGGGAGAGATACTGTGAGGCAAAAGCGTGACTTTATCGCCTATCAACACAGTGCAACGACTTACACGGTTGTAAAAGTTATTGTTAGATTTATATTAACGTTACTGTCACCTTTCATACCGTCTTGACTCTGAGTTTGCATCTCTGTAGTGATGGCAAGTTTGCAGACAGCTGTGAGCGGGTTAAAGTTCCAGATGACTGCACCATTGGATTTATTAGTGGTGAGTGAGAGAAAAGAAGTTTTGATAGCTGCCGGCTGAGACGTGCAGGGTTGTAGTTAGAAAATGTATAATAGTAACTATACTCTAATCACCCTGAAACGATTATAAAATATTTTGTAACTAATTTTAATAAACACAAACACTGCATCAGGAGCGGGCATCTCGTTTATTGGATACAGCGAGCGTGACATTGTCATAAAGAAAATACAGTAAAGAATAAACACAAAAACAAAGTTGAAAGAGATGCCTTCGAGTGGTTCTTGCATAACTTGGAAAATCTTAAATATCCTAGTAGCCCCCTGGGGTTTCACCATACCTACAAGCCCGCCTAAAATGCTTCAACAGTTAACACGAATCGTACATGATGAACATACTTCAGTGTCATTAGCAAAACGTTACAAAAAATATATATAATATCATGTGAACTCATTAGGCGGCAGAATTGAATTATATCTTCGTGGCAAGTATGGTGTATTACAAAGCAACACGCTCTTCAAGGTATGGTCTCTCCGAGACGTGGTTCCAGCATTCTGGAACATTTGTAGCCAGCGTAAAATTATTAGACAGCCGGCGGATTTCCGCCGCCTACCGCCTTCTAATGGCAAGACTGCACATGTAGACGTCATGATGACTCGTAAAATTGAGCTAAATTTGTAAACTGTGGCGTGGAAAAGATGTTCATCATCATCGTCATCAACGCTGACAACAAAAATAACGTTTTTTTTTCTCGTTGCAATCGATACTGTTTTCACAATTGATTTTAAACAGTCACTAATTTATTATCGATGTCTTTCTTCGTCGCAGAATCTCTTCTTAACGTGAGTCTGACAAGACTGAATCTTTTCCATTCTCACCTGGAAAATCTTCCAAGCATACAACAAAACGAAATTAAGGAACAGGTGGGATATTTTTTATTATCAATCGAAAAGTTTCTTGGTTGATCAAAATCTAGAACCGGTAACTTGATTTTCAATTTCTAAGGTACAATCAGATTTTATCAGTGCTTTTTAAATTTAATTTTCTTTCTTTCATTTTCAGATTAGTTTTAGTCATGGTTATATCGGCGGTAGATACAATCGAGTCAACATAGCTGGACCGTTTGACACGGAACAGGATCCTACGCGGTAAGACCTACGCTGGTATGATGAATTAAAGCGCTTTTCGATTGAGAGGCGCAAAACGCAAACCAAAGAGATCATAACAGCCAATCATAAGATGGGAATACTCTCCTAAGAGCCAATGAAGACGTAAAGTAAAAACGAGCAAACTGCTTAAAGCGCAGGTAGACGCGAGTTTTAGTTTTGCATTTGATTGGTTGAGAGAAGGGCGCGAGTTTTCTTGACCAATCACATAGCAAAGTGAGGATCATGTCGTTATTGTTCTCGCGTACAGGTCAAAATTTTTTATAGGGTATATGCTGCTTGTAACTCTTCTCACTTCTTCATTGTTCCCTTGCAGGTTTAAATCAATCCACTGCCTTCTTTATCCGGAGACAGGCTGGTGTCCGAAGTCAGAGGACGTTAATGACCAGAAGAATCGTTCGTTGCAATCCAAGAGATAGCAAAAGCTTCCTCCCCAGAAGAGATTTAAAGTTTATTTTAGTTCACTATGATGTTGTATCAGATAGCTAAATTTTGTTCAAATTTTCTATTCGCTCTCTTTTTTAAATTATTCGTACATGACGCGTTTTTACGAGCGTTCACTCTGGTTGTATAAAATAGTTCAAAAGAAAATTATTTGTATATTTTGATGCAAGTACAGGTTACGGTGTGACCATCAAATTTGGAAAAGACTCACTTACGACTTTCATGTACAATTGTTCTTGTTCTTTTTTTGCATGTATATGACGTCTATCACTTTCATTTATCGTTGGAATTAAATGAAGACTCCTTAAAGTTCAATGGTGTTTTGTTTTCATTGCTATGCCAGTAACTGCATCAAGAATGCGAAAACTTCATCTCAATAATCGAGGTTAACAGACAACATTCCCGCTGTTCCAAGGAGAGTATTACACGCCTCCAGAAGCCCCAGTAATGGGCTCCTGACGCCTCTGATGTGAAAATGAGATTGTACCTTTGCGCAAATAAAACTCATTTTCAAAAGATAGACTTTGCGCTCGGCCTCGTTTAATTTTACCTCTTTTCTGCTGTCTCTATTATTACCCCCCAGCAGATATCTTACCATATTGATCAGTCGTGGGTTATCTGAATGTGGATTATTCGCGGCTCCATATTTTTCGCGCACGTTTCCCGCGAAGTACGGAAGAGGTCTGGGCAAAATATAGGCTTGGTTACCTAGCCAGAACAAGATGGCGGACGAAGATGTCGGTATATCCAGTGTGTGATTTCTTCGGATCCAAATACCATAATTATGCCTGGGATTTTCAGATTCGGAGTCCTTCCTATGATCAGACAAACGTTCTTGCTAGACAACCAGTTTTCTACATACCAACGATGTAATTTGACGATATGCGCCATAGCAGTCAAAAGAAACCTGTCTTCTTTTCGAGGTGAGCGCGCACAATCGTATGCGGCTGGTTTAACAGTCGGTTTTGGTGGTTGTATTGTTTATATATCAATACGCAGATGAAGTAGTCCCAGAACCTTCTGAGAAACACGATTGTGTCCCATGTGACAAAGTATTGTTTTTTCCAACGCGTCCAAGCAAGCCACCAGATTTCACAGGTTTTCGATAACTAAAGCATATGCACTTGCATCCGAAAATGTTGCTAAATTTCCTAGACTTGAATCAAGGGAGGATGCTTTTAGTTTGTTTTGAAAGCGCTCTTCACTGGCTCACTGTACCCCATTCCTGGCCCCCCCCCCACCCACCTTCGTTTGTCGTAGTAGTGGGATAGATCCCGGTCTTTTCTTTTTCACGTGGATTTTGTGTCTAGGTTGTGGTGTTTCTATCTAGGAGTTGGCTTCAAATTGTGGATGGAAGCCCACAAAAGTTTTTTTGGTACTTATCCTGGACTTAGTGATTCATGCATTAACATTATGTTTGCTGGGTAATTTTCAGAGAGAAAACGGTTTTATAATAAAGCAGGTATCGAGGAAGTTGAAGGTAACATTTTCATATTTTTCTAACAAGGTTAACTGAATTCAGCATGTAAAAAAATATTTTTGAGTAATTTTTTTATTTTCAACATATAGTATCTAAATAAATATATTATTTTCTTCTTTTAGCTGCATTTTTGTGTCATGTTTCCACTGCATCTTCAACTGTGTTCTATTTATTGACTGAAGCCATAGTGTTTGTCAGCCAGGATCTTGTTCCCCAAAAGACTCTCCTACATAAATGATGCATAACATCATGAAAAAATACCAAGTCTTAGACTAAATGTGGAATTTTTTTAAATATTTCATTTTGTTAGATATTGTTTCAGCTGACAAAACACTATTTAACAATTGAGAAAACTACAAAAGAATGTTGGTCTGGCTTTGAGTACATATTCTACTGCCAGCCATTAATGTCTTGACTTTTATTATCCATCAATCTAAATGTATAAGTCATATATCTCTTAAGGTGGTTATCAGATCACAGTGGACAACAAAAAGGTGAAAACACCAGCTGGAAATCTTCTTGTTGTTCCCAGTAAACCTTTGGCCATGGCAGTATCTGTAGAGTGGAATTCACAGGTTGACACCATCAAACCAGCAAATATGCATCTGGTAATTAAACAGCTGTTATTGCTTTGTGCAATATTTCGTTGTTGTTGTTTAGGCTGATAGGAAGCCTTGTTGTGATAATAATTTATCGCTATTTAAGCAAGAAGGAAGTCATTAGCCAGAATTGTAGTGAGGCATCTTGAAAGGGAAGACAAGCATAATATACAAGCTCAAGAATCATTCAACAAGCTGACATATTTGATTTATGGTTGGAGTGGGTGGAGAGGGAAGGTGGTAGGCTGGGGGCTATAAGAATGAGAGTCACCCTCTGGGTAATTGTGACTCATTGCAAAACAATATCCACTTGTACATTTACAACTGTATAATTGGTACAGTTTAACCAACTTTTCCCTCATAGTGTATATTATTTTGTTTATATATCTTTGCTTTATTTCTTTTGTTTTGTTTTGTTTATTCTTCATTTACCTGCTGCTACCTGCAACTTAAAATGTACAGGAAGCCTACAAGTTTATTTAGCTCTCTGATTCACAATGTATCATTACAATCCAAATAATGGTAAAAACATTCTTATTCAATCAAAAATATTGCAAAATAGAATTATTACCGGTATTATTGAATATAATTGATTTCTGTGAATAAAGTGTTTGTCTTGTCTTTTTTCTAGTGTAGCTCATTTTGTTTTTCCATAGACTTCTCTCAGTAACACTGTGATTGACAATCCACGGACAAGAAATCATGATCAGCAAATTTCACACATTTTAGAATTTTTGAGCTCGGACAGTATTTGGTATGCCATAAGAATCTCTGCAATTTTTGTTTACTAATACTTTTAAAGAAGTTATTGTGGTCTTCATATAACATTAATTTAACAGTTGCACAATTGTTTAGTCTGAATCAGTAGTTATTTATCTAAGAAGGAAATAGTACTATGGTACATTATCATTGTTGGCTATCATTCACAATCACTAATTTTTAGAGTGACTGGCATCTAATTTCTCCTTACAATATCACCTCAGAATCACATTTGAAGATCACAGGTTAGAATAAAGGAAATGATCACAAATTAAAGAAGCTCTTGATTGTGAAACAAATTCTCTTTTCAAAACTATAGGGCATCAGTATTGAGAAGAGTATGGAGAATATGCATACTGATGTTGGAGTCTAAAGGATTAATCATGTGATTCCTTCTAAACTCTGCAGCTTTTTTGCGGATGAACCTGAAGAGTTAGTGGATCTACAAAGAAAGGAATGGATACCTATCATGGAATGGTTTAACAACAAGTAAAACAAATTTTGCTGTTATTAATAACTTCATTATCATGAGCATTGGTCATTACAAACTGTCCTATGGGAAAATCTCTGTTAATTAGCAAAATATGGCATTGTTTTACTGCAGAGTAGTTCTGAAAGGATAATTTTTTTACAGTGACTGATGTTTTGACAACCTGAGGGGAGGGTATCATTGGAGTTGAGTGAACTACAAAGTTTTTTAATCCATTTGATTGGACCAATAAATCTTTTTCTTGACTCTTAGGATGTCTTCTGCTCAGGTGGTTCAAGAATCACTCCTTCTTAATGATAACAGAGGCTTTCAAGACTACACTTATTCAGATGCTCATACTACATGGTCATATCAATTACTTTGTATCTTTAGATCAACGAATTGATAATAACTGGTAAATGCATGCTAATTTAGGTATTAATTTGTTATTACCTTTGAAGGTATTCAGTACCTGTTGAACCAAGTCATGGTCTGCTTGCGGCGACCATACCAGACGATGCCGAGGAACGACTAAAGGCTCATCTGACACCACTTGACAGCTGGTCCCTAACCGGTAAGTATGTCAGCGAAGTGACCAAGGATGTCTGCGAAGAGACTGGTATGTCGGCGAGTTGACCAAAGGCGACCGTCGACGAGTTGACCAAAGGTGTTGCGAGAAAACTAATTGTGTCAGCGAGGTGACCAAAGTTGTCGCGAGAAAACTAATTGTGTCGGCGAGGTGACCAAAGGTGTCGCGAGAAAACTAATTGTGTCGGCGAGGTGACCAAAGGTGTCGCGAGAAAACTAATTGTGTCGGCGAGGTGACCAAAGGTGTCGCGAATGGATTAATTGTGTTGACGAGCTGGTGGTCGGCGAAGTGACCCGGTACCCCGACAACAGTCCTTTTCAGGACTACTCGCACCTGAACGATCAAATTTCATGGTCCAATAAAATCACATGTAACTGTTAAACTCGTGGTCATCCAGAAATCTTCAGAGGTCGATTAATAGTTTTCATACTCACTTAAAGTTTTTGCATCATTTTGAGAAATCAGTGTCAAATGTAGCGGGAAATCTCTAGTGCACGATGTTGAATATTATTTCTAAAACTTGTTCTCTTTATTCGACAGGCCTCGAGTTTGCTGTGGAAACATTGAAGTCGTTTATTCTTACAATGGCACTCATCGAAAATCACCTCACAGTGGAAAAAGCTGTTCATTTGTCCAGACTAGAGCTAGAATTTCAGGTCTGTTGTTTCACCATTATTCGTCATTGATTGCTGGAATGGACTACTCACTCGTGTTACTTAAATCAATCGTATTTACTCATTAAACTACAAGAAAGTAGTGTACATTTGGTGGGAACAATTAGTTATGCTTTAGACTATAATAAGGTGCAGGGTAGTGAAATGTGAAGGAATGCACTGTTTGGTAATGTGACTCAAAAGAAACAACTTACTACAATTCTATAATATTCTGATGAAAGGGCGCTGCATTTAAACAGGAGCGCTGGGGCAAACGGTAATCCATGATTTTTGCAGCTACATTTTTCTCCTACAAATTTGACTCATGGTAGGGAAGACAAGCGGGGGCGGAGGAGGGGACGAAGGATTGGGAATGCGAACGTTTCTTCCCCAAAAAATCCTTATGTTTCGCCTGTCATGCGAGGCAAACATATTTACTTATTTCTTAATCTCATTGTGCGCCCTTGCGCCCTTAGTTTCTTCAAACCGAGCGTCTGGCGCAAGCGGAGAGAAATCCTTGTAAAAGTGTAGGAAAGCATCACCCTTGCCCTCGATTTTGTTTTTCTTTGGTATGGTTTTGGAATTGAAGTGTGCACTCGGTTATTACAAACTGTGTTTTTTTTCTTTACTGCAGATAAGCCGGTGGGGTAGTGTGGAATGGGCGCACGATCTGGAGTTGATGGAGACCAGGAGTAGGGTGGCTGCCGCTGTTTTGTTTTACAGTCTAAATAACAGACGTAGAACTTTACCATCAAGTTCATAATCATCTCTCTTTCTAGAGCATCAACATATTTTGCTCCTCTTGATGTGTGTCGACAGTGCTTAAGACTCCTTTGTAGGATCCGGACCGCGTCAGGATAACTTTTCAACCGAAAAAAATGGTATTTTTACGGCCGGAAAATGTACTAGAAATTGAAAGAGCTTGTTAGTTTTGTTGCTTGTTAGTTAGAGTATCCTTGGTTAATGTAATCCATATTTAATAGTTTGAAACCTTACTGGTGAGTTTTTTCCTTTGAAATTCCTTTTGAGCCTTACAGCTAACTGATTTCTATTTTTTTCCTTAAAATTTTCAGATCGACCCTTTACATTTACGAGCAAGCAAAAAAAAATCATACAAAATATTTAATCGCACATAGTATGTCTAACTGACTCATTAAAATCCCATCTAACAAATGTTCTGAGTCAACTTTGATAGGTCACACTTTGCTTTTTCACGTGTAGTTTTCATCCGTCACTGTTTGTTATAGGATTCAGATGTGTATACCTGGTCATCCTTGAAGATTGATCCAACATTAATTTACCTAAGAGAGATAGGCTGGGCTTTACGTCAACGGGAACGGATCGGGTAACGTTATCAGAATTTTTACCTGAGAACTGAAAACAAAATTTCAGGAAACTGTCCTCTTTCTATATCGGTTCCATTAGAGTTTTCTGCCGAACAACGAAATGTAAATCGCACTCCCTGGCACTTAACTGATGTTTGCCCATCTTTGCCATACCATGACGTAGGGCCCTTGATGATAGACTTTATCTTATACTCTTTATTTGCTTTCAAAATAATTGGACGATCGAACAACACATCAAAGCCGTAATAAGTACTAGTATCGCTTTTCTTTGAGACATAATTTCCTCCTCGACTCACATGCAAATTGTTGTCAAGGGGATCAATAATGTCTGTCTTAACTGTATACTCTTCGCGTTCGGAGCCAAAATGTTGAACACCGTGTAAAATAATAGGTTTGTTGACGGTGAGAAGGATACAGTCTGGGCCGTTGTAATTATAAATCCAGCCTGAGAGAAACGTCTTAAACCTCTGACATCGTTGCTTAGAGAAAATACCTCTACAGGCTTGTACGAACGGTAAAGGATTATTCAAAAAATTGTTGTACTGTTTTATCAAGTTGCAGAATTCTTCATGATTCAAGAGATGAGAGTCAAATACGACAGATGCAAAATCTTTCTCTTCCATCAACGGAAACCGTATTCCGTTAACAATATCTTCTCCAAGAATTCGTCTCTTTGTCCTTCCATCGGAAGTCATCCTTTGCCTTTCACATTCTTTTATGGCCCAACGATCAACAGCTTTGAACAGTTCCACTTCCCTCACATTCAACACTTCTCTCTTTACAACAGATTCAACAACAGATCGCTCAACTGCAACAAATTCGTCTGACGTCACAGCTTCTTCTGTCTGCTCTTCAATCACTTTCCAGCATCGATCTTTCAAATCTTTATCTTCAAATATCTGTGCGTGCGGCAGAATTAAAAACACATTCGATGCTTTCAGGTTGTCTCGAAGATATTCTGTACATTTCTTAGCGAGTGAGGGTACTATGTACTTGTTCGCTAAGTACAACACTTGCATCACGTTATTTCCGCTTAAATTTACTTTGTCGCTGTACAAGAAACGAAATAACTCCAACAGACTCTCGTACTCACAGTCAGGCAGTTCAATAGGGTCTTTAGTCCCCGCCATACGACCATAGAACATGGCGAAGAACACAGGACTATTAATGGCGAGCACAAACTTGTGAGCTGGGATCGCCTTCTTACTTTCACCTCCGCCATTCGGGAGTGAAACAACAAATTTTACATCGCTGAGTAACTCGTTGTTAAATATAAACGCGGTTTTCTCTACAATAGTTGATAGTTTCGTCTGCCAGTTCTCTTCAGCCGCCATCACTTTGTTTCACCCTCTCTTAACAGATGTCTGCCGATACAGTGAAGATATAGTGAGCTTACTTTGTGCAAATATTATGGAAAGCGAAACCTGAGTTTGCTACCACTGACTTGTCGTTACAACAGGCTCACTTGCTTAATTGCTCACTTTTGTCACTCAAACTAAGTGAATGAACATTCACGGCGTGAAAGTTTTGTGTTTTAAAGACTTCAATCCGATTTTTGCTTTTGATCTCATCTGCTTCTTCCAGGTGAATTTTATTAAAACTTGCAGAATTTTAATCTGACAAAAGCAAAGTCTTATCGAATTACCAGCCGCTAGATAAGTGATAGCGGGGCTAATGAAGAACGGTGTGAATGACAGAAAGGAAAGGATAGTTTAACGATGAAATTCACACGGTCTCTTTACTGCTACCGTCTCTCTCTTCAAGTGTACCCATTTTCAACCAGCACCAAACCTTGAATTGACGTCCAGAATGTAAATGTTGTGATAACGATCCGTCAGCTTTGGAAACTCTCAGTACGGTGGCTAATTTACATAATAAACTCAGTTGGTAAAACCAAATTTTCTTTATAATACCCCGCTTCCCACCCACCATTTTGATCGACTTTGACGGTACTGCGAGGAGCTTCCTGGAGGAACGTAACTTTACTCAAACTCGCCTCGTGCGTCAGAGGGTGGAATGGACACTAATCGCATAGAACCTTGTCAGTAAGTTGCATTTACATAAACGGACTTGAGACAAAGTGAAGGTAAAGTAAAATAAAACTTTGAAAGCTCCTTAGCTTCCATGGGCCATTACACAATGCCACGAGAAATTCATCATTGACTCACGATTATTGGTTAGAATTGTTGCTGTGAAATACCACTCTGAGACAAAAATTTCGTTTGGTTTAGAGTCCAAGAAAGGAAGAAACAAGATTTGCTACACTTGTAAATTAGATTTTGTTAAGAGAGACGACTTGTTAAAATTGTGGGGTTCGGAGCCTTGAGTGAGAAATTAGTACAATTAAAGCTTATAAACAACCAATAAGTCTTGGAGTGTTGATTAAAGGACAAGTAAGCTTTCACTTTCAAAAACAAAGAGGATTTGCGGATTAACAGCACTTATAAATAAGTAAGAAAATCAAACTGAGTTTATTCCTTAGAAAAAAGATCTCACCTTCAACAAAAAAGTACTCGTACATAAATTACTGATGACGGACAAATCATCAAAACAGCTGCCATTGGAAACACGAAAATCGCATTTCCAGCAAACATGTTATACCATCATTGAAGAGGACCTGTCGGCCTAAATAAATCCATTTTCTTAAAAATTGGCTGCCACTAATTCGGCGATGAATTCCAAAATTGTTTGCCTTTTCATCTTGCTTCAAGAAAAAGTAAACGTTTCGGTTTGCACCGCCATCGGAAATAGTCCAATCTCTTTTTCTTCTTATTTTATGGTAAAAGAAAACTTGTGGCTTGAAGACAAAATCATTGAACAGCTCGAGTCTCCTGATATAGTCTCATGCAACCGGTTATGTATGAAAACGGCCTGGTGCACTTCAACAAATTACAAAATGCCAACGTCGCAAGAGGGCATTGGATCCTGTGAACTGAATAGGCACGGCGCCATCGATATGAACACACGAAATCTTCGGAAGCAACAAGGAGCCACTTTTTCTTTGCTTTTGAAGGTAAAGTGTCAAAATTACTTTTTACTCTTCAGCTTGTTAAAAGCCTGTTCTTTTAAATGCGTCATGTGGAAAAGGACGTTAAAATAGCAGGAAAAATGTGACTTCATTGATGTGTGCTTTTAAAACTGGGATTGGTTTGGAGAGAAGAGATAAGCACTTTAAAAGAGTCACAGCCGCAGATCAGCGTTGTAAAATTCTTTGTCTCAAACTTTTTTAATTTTCAGGGTTGTTTGCGGACTGGGTGTCTCAATGGTGGCTCATGTATTTATTGCGAAAACTCATATGCATGTTCGTGCAAAGAACCGCAGACTGAAGAAAAGAAAGGAAGGACATTTGGTAAAGGAAATTTTATTGTTTGTTTACTGAAATACCCGTTTCCAGAATAGCCGTCGTTGTTTTGGCAGTCCTCTGACGTGCCAAAATCTGACCGCGAATATCTCAGCCAAAATTGTTTAAGTTAATCAAGTATTTACGTATTGTGGTGCTTTACTGAGTGAGGATCTTAATCGTTAAGCGTAAACTTGACAAAATCGAACCGTTAATTGTTAAAAAAAAGTTGATTTTCAAAATTTTGCATTAAGTTAGAATGGACAGAATTTAAACGTTAGCCTAAAACGGCCAAATTTTTAGCCGTTAGCCGTAAAAGCCATCACTCCATCGAGACTCATTTTAAACTACTGATATGAAAATGACAATTTTTGTAAAATGTGGAATTCTATTTATAACAATTAGGTGGAATTAGCGTTTTGTTGCTGACCCTCTCGCCTTAATTATACGACCACCATTAAGGTGTCAGAAAATTTTTAAGCGTTAGACTGTCTTATTAAAGCGCTTGAAAGAGGATAAGAGTGGGAACAGATTCAATAGGTATTGAATTTTTAATCTCGGTGCTGTTCATGTTTTTCAATGCAGTCATATGGTAAAGTTTTAAGTATCGCCTTTCGAGGATTTTGGGTTAAAAATAATTCACACCATTTAAGCAGTCTAATAACTGTTGTAATCATAAAAATTTGTAAAATAAATAAAAGATTGTGATTAGTTAAAAAAAACTCCTATTTTCCACTTATTTACTTGCCAAGTTGTTATCAGAAAGTTTGTTAACAGACAGTTCAATAGGCCAATCACATTCAAAAGTTTTAGTTTAAAGAAACCAATCACAACTTTGGTTTCAATCACCATAGAAACAGTGTCCAGATTCCGAAATTGAGGCTTTCTTCAAATTGGAGAATTTGTTCTTTTTTCAGTCTTTTAATGTAAATTTTCCTTTTCTTTCATAACTTAGCTACTCTTCTTTTCTCAAAATTTATAATTTTTTTTATAATTAATTTTGTGTCTTCCAATTCGGTCCGTAATCATACCCGTTAACGCTGCGCGGTCGTCCGATTTTGAGTATCACTCATATGACTACACACCGTATTGGACTACACTCAATCCTATTACCATTACAAACTGTGCTATGCACCTAGTCCCTTATACCATCACATACACTGAGCCTGCTGATGTGAAAGTGCGCTGGGAAACACGCGCGCCGGCTCAATCAAGTCACTGAAGGAACTGCATGGATAGAGAGCGTGAATTTTAGTCTTTCATAGTCCTAAATGCAACGCAAAAAAGTCAGGATAACATTACAACTTACTACCGTTACTATCGCTGTCAGATGGCAAAGCTTTCTCAACTCGAGGTGTATCTTCCATACTAACTTGCTTGAGGCGTTTTTTTTTAACACTCGAGGAATAGGTTGGGAGTCAAATAGGCCTGCTAATTCCTGCAAGCACATCCGGGACGCTGGAGACTCCAGAGGAGACGGGGAATACTGGATCGACCCTGAGAACAAAGGAAGCCCTTTGAAGGTCTATTGCGACATGACAACTGATGGAGGTGAGCGACAGATGTATTTTGAGGCACTTTTTAGCTCGTGTTGAACGGGTGAGAGATATGAAATAAACCCCTCTTTTGGCGTGCCTTGACATCAACGATTAATTGGAATTCTATTGTTTGAGCATCTTAAACAAAACGACATGGTTCTCAGACTAACGATATGTAGTAAGCGCCAGGGAAAAGAAATGTACCGGCTTCCGCTCGCCTCTCAAATACCTCTGTGCAGTAAGCGAATCGATTGGAAAAAAAATCGTACTTCATTTTTCCGGTTTACATCTAATCATAAAAGTTGTTTTCCTCACATGCTTTTTCAAAACTCTTTTCCTTACTAGCTATGAGCATAAAAGATATCCGATTAAAGGCAGCGGGGTCGAGAATACCCAGCAGTTGCCCAACATATGGCAAATCTAGCGTCTTTTTCCCCACCGATGCCATCTTCAAACATTTACATACTACAAACTTATTCGAATTTTTTCACAAACTGAGCATATCTTCGCTCGATTAAAATATATCTCAATTGTTCAAGACCGGAGGCGTACACGTTCTTTTGATAAGCTAAGTTGTATTTCTTTGCTGTTTCAGGAGGCTGGCTTCTCGTTTCCAACCTTGTGATGGCCAACTCAAGTCGGTCCGTTCCGCTGTTGGTTGAGTGGTCGTACCATGCTATCAGCCAATATCACAGGAACAACATGTTTCTGGCAAAAACGGCCATGAATGAGCTCAGAACATACTTGAATTTTACTCAGCTGAGATTCCATTGCAGCAAACGATCGAAGCGTACGTTCCACGTGACCACAGCCGCTAATAGCATCGGAGAAGCTGTGGTCCAGTACTTCAGCGGTCAGACAGATGCGCAACCATACTCGTGTGAATCTTTTGTCAGAATGGAAGACGACAACTCAAAATTAGCCAAGGTCTGCCAAGAGTGGGGGTCTAAGGACTTTAGAAAGCGTTACGTTGGTAAATGGAGCTCATCTAATCGCAATGACAACAGATTGTACGATCATACTGTGATCGTCTGGTGGACCTATCACTGGAATATTCGGCCACCACAACGACGATTTGACTGCGACGATCTTGCACATACAGTATCTGCCGGTGATTTCTGGAAAGTTTTTGTACGTTAGAAATTTTGGGTATATTAGAAGTATTATTATTATTCAGAAGTCTTGTTTCAAAGTATTTAATCTTACTTAACATCGCTGTACAGCAGTGTTCAATTGAGTATTGCTTTGGTTTTACTTTACTTCGCTCAGTGATTGGTCCAGAAAACTGGCGCCTCCATCTCAACCAATTAAATACAAAACTAAAACCAACCTCAACTAGGTAACTCGCGTTTTCGCGCGCGTCCAGCAGGTTGCCTGCTTTTACTTCGAGTTCTCATCGGTTAATGATAATGTTGGCCTTTGTTCTGATTGATAGTTGTGATTACGTTGGTTTTGGTTTTTTTGGCTGCTCTGTTAGTCATAAGAATTTACTTTAACCTCACTGAGTTTTTAAAGTTTCCCCTGTTTCAGTTCCTCAACGCCAGGTTACCAAGTCACTGAATATTAATCTCGTAGTCCGGCTGATCGTCAGGCAAATAATCATCTCTGAGTTGATTTCACATGTCTTGTATTACCTAAGTAATACCTTTCTAATATAACATAAAGCATTATAACTTTTAGCATTGTAACATTTACAGCAGTGCAAATAAAGTGCCCATACAAGAGGGAAAGTATGACACCTTGTGTGAAGTGGACTCTACCCAAAGTGCTTTCTGAGATCATCTTCTGTAAAAATCGTATTAAATGGACACTGAGATCAAATTGAGCTTGCGTTTGAACACAAAACCCGTCCGGCTTAAATGGAAACTTTACGGACTTGCTATATATATAGTTTTTGAATTGTGGGAATTCTGCACAGTCTTAAAACCTTCATAATTTCACGATACTAACTGTTGATAAGGTGTGAAGATAAGGTCTCCCCATTGATCCTAACAAAACACACCTACTTCGCCTCCAGCGACACCTACCGATTATAATTCTCCAAAAAGAGTCGTAATTGTTTCTTGCTAGCGGGGTTTCGCCATACGTAATGTGTTTTTGGCGGAATTGTATGTCCAGACTGAAAGGTGTTGTCAAAGCTACGTTGTTTGGGTTTATTAGGAAAAGATCAAGAATCGTTTGTGAACGCTTGTTTTCTTGCTTGCATTTACGAATTCAGCTCATGCTCTATAAACTATGAACGGCATACAGGCGTCGCTTTTCATTCTACTCGAAGCCCTTGTTGTCGTGACAGGATTTTCTCACTCTCCATATTTCACAACACGAGAAAATAAGCGCCTCATAGGTCATCGTATTAAACAAGTCGATTCTGTCAGTTTGAAGTCTTGCAACCAGTTTTGCTTGATTCATCCATGGTGCACTTCAACAAACTTCCAAATATCAACCAAGATGAACGGCAAAGAAACTTGTGAATTGAACATGCACGGAGTTATCATCGAAAACAATGATCATTTCCATGATCAAGAAGGAGTAACTTTCTCTCTGATGTTAAAGGTAAATATTGTTTCGCCGATGAAATAGGCATTACAGCCAGCACATACAAACTTATAGACCACACGTGAATGGAGCCTTTCAGGACCAGGGTCTTTCACACTAAAACAACGCATCTAAAACAAATAAAACACTAAACAACGCATCTTTCCAGGCGTGTTATAATTAGAGAGCACTTAGCCAGTGACAGGGCCTCCCACATTTTTAAATATCTGCAAGATTCTGAACATTGTCGCGCTTTGTGTTCAGCAGATAGCTTCCACGTTTTGGATCACGCCTCTACCGGTTTTCAACTTAAGATAAAAGAGGCTATTCATATTCAAAGAGAACAACCCTCTTTGAATCAACAGTTACACCATGTAAATCTTAAACTATTCTTTTAATCCTCACACTTTCATGCTTTGCCTCTATTCTTGTTGTCAACATTTATCATGTATGTTTCAAAAACTTAAAGTTGTGTCGTTTTCTTCAAATTCTTGACTTGCCTGCTACTATCCAGAAGTAGTAATTGGTGATAAAAATGTTTCCTCAGTGAAATGTAGTGCCTTGGTCAGTTGTAAAATTATTAATCCATATATCAGTTGCCTGGGCTTACCTTGAGCCAGAAATATATTGGGAAAAGATAATTTAACTCCTTGACATACCATTCAAACGAAACCTACAAGAGTTATAAGTGTATTTTAAGGCCAGTCGCGCTTGTAATTTCTTTTTTATCAAATTTGTTATATTTGATTTATTAGGAGTTTTTTCAGCGATAGCTTGAGGAGCAGTACTTATTCTGTGGAAACATTTTGTAATTGTACTGCCTTGGGAACTTGCTTTTTGTCACTGGGAGGTGCATGCGTCTTCCGTTTTTTTTTTTGTTTTTTTTTTCTTTAACAATAAATTTGTGCTCATCCCAAACTTTTCATTTTTCCAGGGATGTTTGTTGACCGGTTGTCTTAATGGTGGCTCCTGTGTGCATGACAAAAAGGAAAACCTGTTCTTATGTTCGTGCAAAATACCGTGGACGGGAAAAAATGTGAAAATAAAAACGGTAAGATTTGTTTTACTTTTTTAAGTTGAAAAGGTCGGACCATTGTTATCAAGAAAACTTTACCGCTGTAAGTGATAAAAGTGTGGTTTTAAATTTTGAAGTACCTCTTTACCGACCATTAATTTTACAGTTTTGGTATTGCGTTAATTAAAAATTCAGTCCTGTGAAAAACAAAACAAAACAATGAGCGAAAAGCAGCTGTGAGGTAAAATCTGTCGATGGCTGTGAAAGACGCGCATAATTAAGAGTAAGCTTGTTCCTAGCTAGAATTGTCAACCATTATTCGTATTGCTCAGTAAAGTAAAGAAGAAAAGATGAGAAATGCTACACTTTTTCCTTGTTTCATTTTTAACTCGTGAATTTCGCGCATGCGTAAGAGCGAGTTTTAGAGATGTGGAGAATGGCACTCGCTCGCTCACTCGCTCGATTGGTCGACTCCTGTAAACTTTTTTTCGATTTTAGGCTTTTGAGCGCATTTGATAGTTTTTGGCGAGTAATAAACAAACGAAATGGCAACCTTTGTTGCTAAGAATAGTGGTGGGGTGAAAAAGAAGCCAGTGATAATCTTAAAAGAGTTTATTTTTTTTCGTTTTAGTTTCAACAAGCGGCGCCAGCGACTGGCAGGTGTGCGAGGATTCACACTGAATTAAGAGGACAACCTTCGTTTTTCATAAAATTGCAATTTAAATATACAATTCTTGAACTTGAAAACAATCTGAAGATTCATTAAAAATATCGCTCGGAGTTTACAGGTGTTCGAAAGCTTTTTCTGATACGGCGTGAGATTGGGGACAAAATCGATCATTACATTTCGTATCGTGTGTTTTTCTGTGTGAAGAAACAAAAGGTGCTGGGGACTGACGAAGTTACAGGTTAACACGAAAGTCAAATAACATATAAACAAATAAATTTTGGCTACCAATTTTCAGTGAATTTTTAAAGAACAATTTCCTTGTAAGTTTCAAGACAGTTTGAAGATTCAAAATAAATATTACGTACTAAAATGCGAAAATTATACACCACAAAATTGATAAATAGGCCTGAAATGAAATTCTATCTTGTTCTTGATTATGCGTTGCCTAGCACGTGACCAAAATCTACCAGGCGGAAATCCAAAATGACAGTGGGGCAGTCTGGGCTTAGTTATATCACTCAAAACTCGTTCCCGTTTGTCCCATATGATAAAGAGGGAATCATTAATGTTTTCATTAGGACAATATTGCCTTGATTTTCCAATGTTTACAATGTTAGACAGTAAATTTCACTTTTCACCCACATTTACTTCCAACATTTTCTTTTGAACCAGAAACAAAAATGATGTGTTTAAAACACGACATCATCCACCCTTGTCAAATGTAATAGCATGATCATTTCAGTTGTAATGCCTTCTTATCCCAACGTTACTTTGTTTCTTTGCTACATTAGCGAACACTAAACTACTGCTCGTACTCTAAATATGACAATCAACCACAAAATTCCCTAAACCAGATAACAAAAAAATCATGTAAGTCATCTGTCAATTCACGAGTTTGCTCACAGAGCACTTTGATTTTAATCATAGCGAGTTAATGCGTATTTTTGCCTAAGACCCTTGCTGCCAACTGATTCATAAATTTTTCTTCTGGGCACTGTTTTCATTCGAACCTCAGTTGGGAAGTACTTATTTCCTTCCAAAATGCCCACATTTTTCAAGGTATTTCTAAAAATTTTAAATTGTCGGAACTCCAGCAGGTAACCACTTATGGTATTAGCGACATATCTTACGGGGGACTGAAATCATTGGAACTAAAACTGTTATAGTTTTGTCGTAGTAAGGCTAAAAAGATCAAACGATTGTGTGTTATTTTTCTTGTTTCGTTTTGTTTGTTTTTTTTGACGTAACCAAAGGAATAGGCTGGATATATGATCATCCTGCTCTTTCAGGCAAGAACATTCGGGACGTGGGAGACTCCAAAGGAGACGGGGAATACTGGATCGACCCTGCAAAGAATGGGAAGCCATTCAAAGTCTACTGTGACATGACAACTGATGGAGGTTTGCTATCAAGGAGAAAACAACTTGTGATTAGTTTGAGGAAAGCTAAATTTCTTTTTCCTTCTATTCATTGATATAGTTTTTTTTCGCAATTGTGTCACGGGTGTACAGAATCAAGGGACCTAAATAGCCCGATATTTCGCCAAATTGAAAGAAAGTGTTCTTTCATAGACCAATTTTGATCTTAAATATGGCCATTTCTACTGAATTAGAAAAAAATATTTCGTCGTTGCCATTGTTCATATTTAAAATACAAAAAAAGAGATAAAAATACAGAAAAAGATGAATGATTGAATAAAACCAACGGGATAATAGACAAAATCTCTTTGGTTTTCAGGGGGGTGGCTTCTCATTTCCAACATTGTTAAGGACGCCTCACCTATTCAACCCTCCCTCAAGGGGTCCTACGATGAAGTTAGCCTTTACAAGAGAGGGAACATTGTTCTTCGCAGAAGGGCTAAGAAAGAACTCAGATCGAATGTGTCCTTTACTCAGCTGCGATTCTACTGTAAACAACAGGGACGTACGTTCCACGTGACCACGGCCGCTAACAGCACTGGTGAAGCTGTTGTCTAGTACTTTAGTGGTCAGACGGATGCGCGACCGGATGCCTGTGGCTCGTTTGTAAGGATGGAAGATGATAACTCAGCTATGGCAAAAGTCTGCAAAAAGTGGGGGGGTACAAAGTCTCTCGATCAGTTCACTAACAAATGGAGTCTCGACGATCAGAACTATGAAAAGCGGCTGTATGATCACGTGGTTCTCGTCTGGTACAAACAACATTGGCTGCTTTCACCAGAAAGTAAGAGATTCGAATGCGATGATTTTAAGGGCAATGTTTCGACAGGTGATTTTTGGAAGATATATGTGCGTTGAGGACTCCATCGATAAAATTATTATTTTTGCCGCACATACAAAAATAACAATTTACATAAAATACTTTTTGCGATAATTGTAGTGCAAACTGCTTTGTCAAATTCTTTCTTTCACTGCTGTATTAGATTTAATGAGATTGTAACAGGGTATACATTGATATTCGCTTTGCTGTTTTGTATTAAGGGAAAACCATGTCCCATTATTTTCTCTTGTCTTTATCTAATCTCGGTTTTGGCGCCATTGTGATATCAAATAGGTAATTTGAATGGAACTGAGTGGAGTCTAATTCGGTCTGGAATCATACGAGTGATAACAATATCGTACTCCCTCCGCACGATCGTCCGTTTTTAATATAGGAAGTCCTACTACCAAATAATCATAAAAATTCCAATTTCCGAGAAAAAGAAGAATGGCCAATTGCAAGTTATGAAAGAAAGGGAAAATTTACATTAAGAGACTAACAACCATAGTTGTGATTGGTGGAGTTAAACTACAACTTTGAATGCGATTGGCTTATTGAACTGTCTGACGGCAAACTTTCCGATAACAACTTGACAAGTGAATTAGTGGAAAATAGGAGTTTCTTAAACCAATCAAAATCGAGGAAATTGTAATTTTTATGATTAAGGAATAAATCCAGTGAAACGAGAGACAAAGGAACCAGCTCGACAAAAGTTCACTTTATATCAGCTTTTTTCCCCTTAAAAACACCCCTTTGCGCGCTATATGGGGGCACACGTTTGCCGCCAGATATAACGATGTTGCTTCTCCAATTTGATTTGAGGATCGTTGATTTTTTTAGCGAGTTAGTTAGACTGAGCTCTTACTCTTTCCAGAACGAGATTTTAAAATCACAGAGATTAAGAAAAAAAATTTGTGATTTAAGATATTAGATTGATCATCTAAAAGTCTACAGTGAATAGCTGAAGACAGGTTTCTTTCTAACTGATGACTTCTTGACCAATTCGCGTCCTTGTTGGGCGGTAAAGTTATCTTAATGTGCTCTCTAAGGTCACGGTGAGATTAGTTGCCGTTCTGAATTTGGTAGCGAACATCATGCATCGCGTTTCTTTGCGGCAAATACTCATCCAGTTTATTTCGATGCGTCTACAATAAACGGGGTACAGGTGGCTTTGATTATCGTCCTCCAAGCCTTTGTTGGTGATCCCCTGTCAAAATCTTCCCCTCCCCCTCAGGCGATAAAAAATGGCTGGTCTTAGTCTCGTATCCGGATCGGTTGTAGTTACAGTTACACGGTAGGATCTGGGTACGAGATTGGTCCCTAACGACTGAGGTCCATTTAGGCCCAGAAAACCTATAATACTTGTATTCAATTATCGCAGTACGTGACCCCAGAGAAATTAACAGTAATTTTTATAAGCATTATAAGCAGAACATTGTTATTAAAGCTGGATAGTTCAAACATTGAAAAGCTATATATGCAACAAATGAATCGATCAATTAGGATTTTGATAAAGGAAAAGCTAACGAGACTGATGAGCTTTAAATCTTTCATTTACTCCTATTGAATAGACAGTAAAACAAAGTTTTACCTACACTTTTTTTTTATGAAAACGGCGTACGCCTAACATAACATAAAATATCAGAAAGTTTAGCACTACAACACTTACAACAGTGCAAATGAAGTGCTCATACAAGAAGGCCATCTGAGGGAAAGTATGACACCTTGTATGAAGTGGACTCTACCCAAAGTGCTTTCTGAGATCATTCTCTTAAAAAATCGTATTAAATGGACACTGAGATCAAATTGAGCCTGCGTTTGAACACAAAACCCGTCCGGCTTAAAAGAAAACTTTAAGGACTTGCTATATATAAAGTTTTTGAATTGCGGGAAAACTGAACAGTTTTAAAACCTTCATAATTTCACGATTCTAATTGTTGATAAGGTGTGACGATAAGTTCTCCCCAGTGATCCTGACAAAACACACTTACTTTGTCTCCATCTACACCTGCTATTATAATTCTCCTAAATTAAAATGTCGTAATTGTTTTTTGCTTGAGAGGTTTCGCTATACGTAATCTGTTTTTGACAGAACTGTAAGTCCTGACTATAAGGTGTTGTAGGGGTAGGTTGTTTGGGTTTATCGTTGAGACTCGTTGGGGAACACGCTTGTTTTCTTGCTTGCATTTACGAATTCAGCTCATGTAGAAACTATGAACGGCATACAGGCGTCGTTTTTCATTCTACTCGAAGCCTTTGTTGTCGTGACAGGATTTTCTCACTCCGCATATTTCACAACACGAGAAAATAAGCGCCTCATAGGTCATCGTATTAAACAAGTCGATTCTGTCAGTTTGGAGTCGTGCAGCCAGTTTTGCTTGAGACAGCCATGGTGCACTTCAACAAACTTCCAAATATCAACCAAGATGAACGGCAAAGAAACTTGTGAATTGAACATGCACGGAATTATCGACGAAAACAATGATCATTTCCATGATCAAGAAGGAGTCACTCTCTCTCTGAAGTTAAAGGTAAGTATTGTTTCGCCGATGAAATAGGCATTACAGCCAGCACATACAAACTTATAGACCACACGTTTATGGAGCCTTTTAGGGCCAGGGTCTTTCACACTAAAACAACGCATCTAAAAGAACTAAAACACTAAACAACGCATCTTTCCAGGCGTGTTATAATTAGAGAGCACTTAGCCAGTGACAGGGCCTCCCACATTTTCAAACATCTGAAAGATTCTGAACATTGTCGTGCTTTGTGTTCAGCAGATAGCTTCCACGTTTTGGATCACGCCTCTACCGGTTTCTAACTCAAGATAAAAGAGGCTATTCAGATTCAAAGAGAACAACGGTCTTTGAATCAACAATTACACCATGTAAATCTTAAACTATCCTTTTAATCCTCACACTTTCATACTTTGCCTCTATTCTTGTTGTCAACATTTATCATAATTAGCATTTTTCTACTTAATATAAATTCAACTTCCAACGCTTTGTCCATTCATTAACTGAAGATGACAGAAGTTTCTGTCGAATTATGTTTCACAAACTTAAAGTTTTGTCGTTTTCTTCAAATTCTCGACTTGCCTGCTACTATCCAGAAGTAGTAATTGGTGATGAAAATGTTTCCTCAGTGAAATGTAGTGCCTTGGTCAGTTGTAAAATTATTAATCCATGTATCAGTTGCCTGGGCTTACTTTGAGCCAGAAATATATTGGGAAAAGATAATTTAACTCCTTGACATAGCAATCAAACGACACCTACAAGAGTTATAAGTGTATTCTAAAGCAAGTCGCATTGTAATTTTTTTATCAAATTTGTTATATTTGATTTCTTAGGAGTTTTTTTAGCGATAGCTTGAGGAGAAGTACTTATTCTGTAGAAACTTTTTGTAATTGTACTGCCTTTGGAACTTACTTTTTGTCAGTGGGAGATGCATGCGTCTTCTGTTTTTTGTTTTATTTTTGACAGGATATTTGTGCTCATCCCAAAGTTTTCATTTTTTCAGGGATGTTTGTTGACCAGCTGTCTTAATGGTGGCTCCTGTGTGTATGACAAAAACAAAAAGGGACACCTGTTCTCATGTTTGTGCAAAATACCGTGGACGGGAAAAAAATGTGAAAATAAAAACGGTAAGATTTGTTTTACTTTTTTAAGTTGAAAAGGTCGGACCATTGTAATCAAGAAAACTTTACCGCTGTAAGTGATAAAAGTGTGGTTTTAAGTTTAGAAGTACCTCAAAAAACATAAAAACAAAACAATGAGCGAAAAGCAGCTGTTAGGTAAAATCTATCGATGGCTATGAAAGACGCGCACAATTAAGAGTAGGCTTGTTCCCAGCTAGAATTGTCAACCATTATTCGTATTGCTCAGCAAAGTAAAGAAGAAAAGACGAGAAATGCTGCACTTTTTCCTTCTTTCATGTTTTTAATCATAGCGAATTAATGCATATATTTGCCTCAGACCCGTGATGCCAACGCTGTTTTCATTCGAATCACATTTGGCAAGTGCTTATTTCCTTCCAAAATGCTCTCATTTTTCAAGTGAAGGTCTTTCTAAAAATTTAAAACATTTTAAAAAAGCACTGAGCGAAAAGCAGCTGTAAGGTAAAATCTGTCGATGGCTATGAAAGACCCGCACAATTAAGAGTAAGCTTGCTCCCTGGCTCGAATTGTTAACCATTAACCTTATACCCGTGATGCCAACTGATGCAAAAATTTTTCTTCTCGGCGCTATTTTCACTCAAAACTCATTTGGGAAGTGCTTATTTCCTTCCAAAATGCTCTAATTTTTCATGGTATTTCTAAAAATTTTAAATTTTCGGATCTCCAGCAAGTAAACATTTGTGGTTTTAGCGACATATCTTATGGGGGATTGAAATCATTGGAACTGAAACTGTTATTATTTTGTCGTAGTAAGGCTAGAAAGATCATATGATTATGTGTTATTTTTCTTGTTTTGTTTGTTTATTTTTTACGTAACTAAAGGAATAGGCTGGATTTATCGTTATCCTGCTCTTTCATGCAAGAACATCCGGGACATGGGAGACTCCAAAGGAGACGGGGAATACTGGATCGACCCTGCAAAGAATGGAAAGCCATTCAAAGTCTACTGTGACATGACAACTGATGGAGGTTTGCTATCAAGGAGAAAATAACTTGTGATTAGTTTGAGTAAAGCTAAATTTCTTTTTCCTTCTCTTCATGGATAAAATTTTTTTTCGCAATTGTGTCATGGGCTTACAGAATCGAGGGAACAAAATAGCCCGATATTTCGCCAAATTGAAACAAATTGTTTCATAGACCAATTTTGATCTTAAATACGGCTATTTCTATTGAATTTGAAAAAGAAATTTCATCTTTGTCATTTTTCGTTAAAAACAGAAAATACAAAAAATGAGATAGAAATACAGAAAAAGATGAACAATTGAATAAAACCAACAGGATAATAGACAATATCTCTTTGGTTTTCAGGTGGGTGGCTTCTCATTTCCAACATCGTTAAGGGCGCCTCACCTATTCAACCCTCCCTCAAGGGGTCCTACGATGAAGTTAGCCTCTACAAGGAAGAAAACATTGTTCTCAACAGAAGCGCCGTGAAAGAACTCAGGTCGAATGTGTCCTTTACTCAGCTGCGATTCTTCTGTAGTAAACAACAGGGACGTACGTTCCACGTGACCACGACCGCTAACAGTACTGGTGAAGCTGTTGTCCAGTACTTTAGCGGTCAGACGGATGCGCGACCGGATGCCTGTGGCTCGTTTGTGAGGATGGAAGATGATAACTCAGCTATGTCACAAGTCTGCAAAGAGTGGGGGGGTAACTCTACCAATACGTTCACAAACAAATGGGGTGACCGCACTCAAGACTATGAAAAGCGGCTGTATCGTCAGGTGGTTCTCGTCTGGTCCAAATATCATTGGCTGCTTTCACCAGAAAGTAAGAGATTCGAATGCGATGATTATAACGGCAATGTTTCCACAGGTGATTTTTGGAAGATATACGTACGTTGAGGACTCCATCAATGAAATTATTGCTTTTGTCTCACACGCAAAAATGAAACTTTACATGTAATACTTTTTGCGGTAATTGTAGTGCAAACAGCTTCCTCATATTCTTTCTTTCACTGCTGTATTAGACTTCAATGAGATTGTAACATACTATACATAGATAATTGCTTTGATGTTTTGTATGAAGGGAAAACCATGTCCCATTATTTTCTCTTGTCTTTATCTAATCACGGTTTTGGCGCCATTACGATGTCAAATACTTTTTAGGTAATTTTGATGGAACTGAGTGGGGTTCGATTCGGTTTGTAATCATACGAGTGATACAGGAAGTCTTACTAGCAAATAATCATAAAAATTCCAATTTCCCAGAAAAAGAAGAATGCCAAGTTATGAAAGAAAGGGTAAATTTGCATTAAAAGACTAACAACCAAGGTTGAGATCGGTGGATTTAAACTACAATTTTGAATGTGATTGGCTTACTAAACTGTCCGATGGCAAACTTTCCGATAACAACTTGGCAAATGAATTAGTGGAAAATAAGAGTTTTTTAAACCAATCACAATCGAGGAAATTGTAATTTTTTGTGATTAAGAGATAAATCTAGTGAAATGAGAGACGAAGGAGCCGGGTCAACGAGAGTCTACTTTACATCAGCTTTTTTTTCCTTAAAAACACACCTTTACGCGCTATATGGGGGCACACGTTTGCCGCCAGATATAACGATGTTGCTTCTCCAATTTGATTTAAGGATCATCGATTTTTTTTAGTGAGTTAGTTAGACTGAGCACTTGCTCTTTCCAGAGGGAGCTTAGAAAATCACAGAGATTAAGAGAACGAATTTTGTGATTTAAGATATTAGATTGATAGTCTAAAAGTCTACAGTTAATAGCTGGAGACAGGTTTCTTTCTAATTGATGACTTCTTGACCAATTCGCTTCCTTGTTGGGTGGTAAAGCTATCCTAATGTGCTCTCTAAGGTCACAGTGAGATTAGTTGCCGACCTGAATTTGCCGTCGCGTTTCCTTACGGCAAATACTTATTCCGTTTTATTCAATGTATCTAAGATAAACAGGGTACAGGTGGCTTTGATTATCGTCCTCCAAGCCTTTGATCCCTTGTTAAAATCCTTCCCCCCCCCCCCCAACGACTGAGGCCCAGAAAAGCCATGTTTGTCTTCAATTATTACAGTACGTGACCCCAGAGAAATTAGCAGTAATATTATAAGCAGAACATTGTTATTAAAGCTGGGTAGTTCAAACATTTAAAAGCTATATATGCAACAAATGAATTGATCACTAAGGATTTTAATACAAGAAAAGCCAGAGAGACTGAAGAGCTGTAAATCTTTCATCTACTCCTATTTAATATAATAGACAGTAAAACAAAGTTTTACCCGCATTTGTTTTTTGTGAAAACGGCGTACCCCTAAGTGATCTTAAGTGGTCTTTAATGACCCATGAAATACCCAGTGTGTTCAGATGAACGTGACATTGAAGAAGTGTAGGTTGTGTTTGTTTGTTCCTGTTTATGTTCCCTAGAGTAAAAGATTTATTTTTGTGCGGTTTTCTGTACATGTTTATTTTTCCACCCCCTCGGTATTTTATCACTGTTACCTAATTTCACGTTTATATCGGTCGGCCACGAGCATAGCGAGAAATTTTTTCTTGTTCACTCGGGCAAGATGTTTTTTCCACTCTAGTCATGGTATGGTTTCTGAATCACACGATTCCTGTAGAAATTGCAAAACTTGTTATTCGGTAATAATGTTTAATTAACTTTTAAAAGAATGGTTTTGCGAGAATCTTGTTACGTCTAGTTATTTGTTGGATAATAACAGGGATTGCTTTCTTCTCTGTTATTATGGGCAGGTAAATAGTTCTGTTGTACGTGGATTACCATTAAAATGACTTGATTTCAATCTGTTTTGATTCGCTTCAAATAATAAAGGTCGTCAGCAACATACCCAAGAAAATATTTGATCGGCCTAAATCCTCCCTCGTGGACAAATATTTCTCCCGCCTACCAAAAAGTCTATGTGTTCAAAGATGGACAATGACGCTCAATTTTAAGGAAGGGTGTTTTCAAAACGTGAATGATCTTTTTAAGTATGCCAAATTCGCCACTTTGTTTCAAATCGGTTTATAAGTTAGACACTTAGATCGTGATCATTGAAATGGAATGATAACACCCACGTGCTGACATGACGTCACGCCATGGAATTCTTTTCACGTCACTTTGTTTTCATTGCCAATCCGTCGCTTCCGTATATTGACAAAAACATTATGAAAGGTCCTCGATGGGTTATTTATCTTTAGACAATTCCAAGTAGAGACGACAAGAGTGATAGAGATATTTTTTTACAAGCAAATTATACCAACAACTCAAAGACTATGAGCACAAATAGCTACGACGAAGAAGCTTCTATCCTTCTGTCAAAGAACATCACAAAATCTTTACTTGTGAAGAATGCTCTCGACTTAGAGGCGTTAAAGAAACGGGCTCGACTGCTAGAGAAAGAGAAGAATTCAGAAGCGAGATTATTCCTCAAGAAAAAGGAGATTCTTTTAAAACGACAGGCGACTAGAAACTCTGGGACCCTTTCGAGTCAACGACCTTTGTCCTCTAGAAGTTTGATTCCGCCAGAAACGAATGTCAGTCGATGGAAAAGTGACACAGACTTGAACAGAGAATTATCTCTCGGAGCGCGAACGCAAGATATGAATGAAAAAAGCGGGAGGCAGAAGTTGCTATCGCCCTGGCTTCCCTTGCTTTCTGAAGGAGCCAAAAGAAGGAGCGGAACATTCTCTTCACTGGATCAGTATGAAAGTACTTCGACTTCTCTTCCAGATATACATGGAGGTTCAATTGGAAAAACGAAATTAAAGAAATACAGTGACACAAACCCACCACGGCCAGTTTCTTCTCAAGGCAAAAAGAAGACTGAAGTCTCCACTTCTGTTATTGACGACTGGCAAGATTTGCGAAAGATTAGATATTTGCGCAGGTAACCACGATCAAAGGCAAAAAAAATGTAACTATGATCCGCGTGTCGCCCATCAGCGAAAAAAACTACATCAGGCTCTGATTTGATTGGTCACTGTTGTGTGTGATCTGAGACTCTTGGTGGACGCTTCGCGCGCTTCGAGGTTCTTTTTGTAAGAAGTTTCCCAACCCAAGCTACGTACGTACGTGACCTGTTGGTAAATCGAAGGGCGATGGTAAACGCACGCGATAGTAACGGAAGAATCGAAAACTAAAGAACTACTCCTCCACCACTATCGTGCTTGTAACTTTATATTTCCCTACTTATTATGCCTGGGACAGCTACAAACTTCGTGGTTCAGATGAGTAGAATACGATCTTAGCTCTCATGGAATCTCACATTGGGATGTCAACAACAAAGCTCAGTTTATTTATTTTTGTAGTAATGATGACCTTCGGAAAGATCTGCTTTCCGTTTTTTCCTTCTTTAATATTACAAAAAACGAGAAAACGATGAGAGTGTTCAAGTGAATTTTCTCATTATACGGCTATATGTATTCGATCATATGATGGTTATAAATTTATTCAAAGTACATTATAGAAAATTTTTGTGACACTGTAAATAACACAAATAAAGATATGTGACAAATTCATTTTACATTCTCGTCGTACTGTCACGTTTATGTCCTCAGTTAATACCTCTTCCTGTCACTGACTGAAATAAGCCACAAAAATTCAAGTTCTTCAAGTTGGAACTTCCTCCTGAAGGCGTTAAGAGGTTAAAAGAAGAAGCTTAGCAAGAATATTAAATGAAGTTACTCATGTGTAAACATCACAAGCGTTTCGTGATCATACCGCCCTTTTTTACATGTGTTCTTTTGACATTTTGGTTTTAAACGTTTTGCTCTGTCGAATGACCTAGACCCTGTTGACCTTTTGGTAGTTGGTACCCTCTATTTTTTTTTTTTTTTTTAATCTTTTCTTCAATTTTTAGTGAAGTTCGTGACCTTTCTTAACAACATGCACACCTTAGCAGTACCTTCACAATGGATACGTCGTCATGAGTGGAACAAATAAAATTATGTTGTTTTTGGTTGGCACAAGTAGCTAGCTAAGGTGTCACGTTCAATAGTCTGCCAATGGCCACTCACAGTAGAGACTCATGAGTCCAGGCATATCTCCAAAGAGACCAGATGTAAATTTAGTTGAGAAAATGCTCAAATTGAACACTTGAGACAACACTAAATTTGAGGTCTGGTGGATAGAAGTGAATTCAGTGACCTTAGGAACGATGGTGTTCTTTATTCAGTCTGAAATGATCTCCGTATTTTGAGTCGGTCAAAAGGATCAATAATTTACCGGCTTGGCGTAATCTGATGGCCGTGACTGTTCGAATATCTGTAAATTTCTCTTAGAACACCATAGCTAGTCGTTTAGTTAGAGGTCCTGGTAAAATTCAGTCTAAATTTTCAAGCTTGTCAACTAACATCCTTGCTCAATGAATGGTTTATCTTATATTTATCTGCAATATTCTCGCTCTTTTTGGGTTTTTCAATATCTGAACTCTGTGGCGTTCAATTAGTATATCAGCAAACTATTTTCAAGGTTTCTTTGCCGCATCTCATTCCACTCTGTAAATTATAAAACGAAAAAGAAGGAGACTTTATTCTTCTCGCAGATTGATATAAGGGCTTCATACAGATGCCTGTTATAAACAAAGACGGGGGAGTAAGTTCAGCATATCCGGTTGTGTTGCTAACTTGTTTTTTTACTGATTAAGAGGGTCGATAAAAAAACCAACATTAAACATCATTGTTATGCGAAAAAGAAAAAACACAACAAAAAAACAAGGAACATAAATAACCGGAAGTACGATTTATCACGACTCACGATCTTGTTTAAAGAAAGGGCCACACATTGAATATCTAGTCTCGGGGTTTTCAGGAGAAAATGTTGGAATTTACACAATGTTTATACTGAATGTTAAAAAATGTTTGGCACTTGGGATTTTTTTACAGCCGTGTATTTGATGAAAAATTCAGATATAGTACGTAACAAATTTGTACTCTGACATTGCTCAACGATATTAATTCTTACAAACTTGACAGAAATGATTTCATTCTCAGTACTGGAATTACGGGTGTGCCATAAATGGAGCACGGCCAACTCGAACTGCCAAGGGGGTGGGGGTGGGGGAAGAAGAGCAGTTGATGGGAGAGTTCAGGTTGAATGATGAGTGGATTAGTAAGAAATTATTTTCAAGGACGGTGGATTGAGGTTCCAGTTATCGCGAGGCTCGAGTTAATGAGGTTCTTCAGTACTTCGCATTGATACAAGTCGTTTCATCTCTCTGAGTTGATATAAACAAGGTTTGTTTCTAGGTTTGTTTCTCCGGGTTCAACCAGGAATAACGAAGGTGTTTTTGAACGCAGTGCTTTTATTACTAGGAAGAGACACGAATTTACGAGATTATAGGAAAAACAAACGGTCTGAGGGAATGATAATCGGTTGAAAATAATTAGTAAACGTGGTTAAGATTAAGATGAAAAGAGGAAGAAAAAGAACTCGACGTTAGAGGAGAAGAAGAAGGAGAAAAAGTAGAAGAAAAAAGAAGAGGAAGTTAGTGATGATGATTATGATAAATATTGCTTGGGTTTAGGTAATTTTACGCAAACTTTACTTAAGTCCTAGACATGAATCAATTTGTAAATGTGGAGCACCTGTCACACATCTGTCAATTTAAAGTAAATATCAGGGAAAAAAACATTTAAGTTTCTTTGTTCGTATGATTTTTCAGTTAATGTTTGCGTGGTATTATTCAAACAAATAACAAAGGCTGTTATGAATTGGCGTCACTGATGACGCTTCTTTATTGTTTTTATTGACAGCGCCAGCGCTAAACATGACATGTATATACGTGACGAATTCTGAGGTAAAGATTTGTTTCTGTCAGAAGCACTGATATTCTTCGTAAACGTTTCCTGTGTTAGGAAAGACCACACTAAGCTTGGGAAAAATGAAATCGAGCTTCAATGAAGAAACCCTGGCATTGTTATCAAAGTCCACTGTTAAACTTCTACGTGTTCGAAATGCAATTGATGACGGAACGCTGAAGAAAGAGTCACAAATGCTTCAAAAGCAGAGAAAGGCAGAAGAGAGATTATACCAGAGAACAAGAGAATATATTTTACAACAGCGTTCAAAGATTTCTGAAACAAGACCATTATCGTCTCGAAGTTTAAACATAGAACAAGCTGTCACCAAATGGAAAAGTGACCCAAACTTGGCGCGACAAAATTTGTCCCCTCAAATGAGACGGAAAGAAATTGATGCCAACAAAGGGAAACAAACGTTATTATCCTCCTCTTTTCCACGCCTCATGGACCACGCTGACAAACACTCTGAACTAAGCTTGAGTCCTCGCTCCAGGCACCGTGCGTTATCAACACTAAGCCCCGAGTATGGCGGTGTCACAACTTCTCTTCCAGACATAAATGCCGCCTCTAAGTGGAAAAGAGGCGGCAAGATAGTCAGGGACACAATACGACCCTGGAAACTGTCTGACACTCAGCTGGATACTGGACGTCCAAGCTTTGATAAAGACGCCATTACTGATGAAGAGTGGAAAGAATTAAAGAATTGTCGGTATTTGCGCACTGTATCGGCGAGGGGAGAACTTAGCAAATGATCTTGATAGTGGAAAAAATTGTGGAATGTATCAGTATGCATGGATAATTTTTGACCGTACCTTAGCTCATAATTGAAGTAAGAAGGAGGATTTTCCTATCCGATCTTGTCTGACGAAATTTGGTCATAAATTGACTCATTCTAAAAGCCCATGAACGGCAGGGCCAGCAGACCAGAAGTATCTGAACTGATTAAGAGTAATCATAACAAATTACTTTTTGATCAATGTAAAAGCTATGGGCAGTTTTTAAAGTCATTCATATTAATCAAATACATATTAATAAGCGGCAGTCTTATGTTTTCTTGGGAAAAATTGCTCTACACATCGAAAAGATATGGCATTTAATGAAACACATGCACACGAGCGGAGCAAAAGAACACCATCATAGGAGAACGTTTGAACAGAACAGTGACATACTGCGTACTGGTCACTTCTAAACCTGTACAAGCTTAATCTCTGCTGGCTGACTATGACTGCCCTGGCCTCCGTGATGTCAGCTTTTGTATCGCTCGCAGTTCCCACGTAGTCATGCTACTGAGTGCGTGGGTATGAAAATATTAAAATGATCATGTATAAGTCGTTACAATTTTCATTTTTTTTATGTATAGAAGAAGAAAGAACCAAATTATTTCATAAACATAAATATATAATCTATCTTTTAAAAACGATTAATTTATGGTTTAAATTCTGGTTTACCTGGTTGAGTTACTCGTAGTAGCTATATATATTTTGGGATCCATTCTTCAACGAGCATCGGTCTCTTGACTCATTTGTCATCTGATTAAGTACCTTCGAAAACTATCAATTAGTGATCTAGCTCTTCTCACGTTCCCTCCGTGGATGTCATGTATGTATGCTAGTCAGGGGCATATTACTCTAAGTAGTGTGCTCCTGTACAAGTTCATTCCTTTAAGAATTATGTGATTTGAGTTGTATGCTGGAAATGAATGAATTTATTGCCCTAATCTCAGGTTGTGGTTTGAGTATATGTACTGCCTCAACAACTTTGCTAGAACGTTCTTATATCTGACTTTATGGCCTAGGTAGGGTATAAAATAACACTAATAAATGCAAACTCCTGAATTTAGAAAAAAATATTAATAAAAGACTAAATGTTTTCATAGACGATAAGATGACAAAGATGGAGACTACATCGAACTCACGTCTACACCCTGACACAGACATCCATCTCTAACCAAAATTTATATTCTCATCGTCAGTCGAAGTATAAGAACGGTGATAGCTTCATATTGGCTCTTGATTGCATTTCCTTTTTCTGTTGTTATTCTCAAACTGTTTGTTTACGAACTTATCGATATATTGGCTACCCTAATCTTTTCTCTGTCCAGAACAGCAAAGTCATGCAACTGGTGCGTTTTGATTTGTCTTAAGTATCCCAAAAAAGAGGAATTTGATTTCTAAGGCGTCATTCAGTCCTTCAATAGTTTTCTACGCCGTTTTGTCGCTGTATCGGACTGCACTCACGATCGGAGTGGCATGACACATCGTCCTTGTCAGGCACTTGAGAACGATTACACAATACGCGATAAATAACCCTTCAGCTCAAAGCAATGGTAAAAGAAAGCTTACGAAGTTTCGTTTTCAAAACAACCGAATCTTTTTATCTCTCTTTTAACTTATTCATCTTTCTTACTAAGGTTATTTTTGAGCAAGATTGATTCAGATAGATTAACTAACAACCAAATAATTAAATACGCTCATAAACCTTGTTTGGTGCACCACCGGAAACTGATTTTCATATTGACTTCGCCGGTTGCTGTTGCATGTGTTTTTAGTATATTCTTTCCTCGTTGGTACTTTCCCACAATACTAAGAGTTATTTTTGGTTTCCTCTCTGAGATGACCGCAAAAATCAACAACGGAAATGATAGTATGATAAGGCATCTTTTTGAGTGGGAAGACAGAGAATGAGGTAAGGTAGTTACGTCTTTGTCACGGTGTGTGCATCTGGAAAAATTTCACCGTTTGCAATGCGGTCCGTGTCAATGTTATGCAGCTTTGGCCATCCTTATTTCCTCTTGGCTCACTTCTGCTTCTTTCGAGTTTTTCTAAAATATTAAACTATTATTGCGCAGTCTTTTTTAGACTCACGCTAGTTTGATCGGCACTCTACGTAACTCGTATATCGTGACGTTAAGCTCTTTTATAATTATGATTGCAATTGTTTTGTCTATTTTGTGATATTGGACAGGATGTCGTTTCTGAAAAAGCGGATACACTTAAAATATCACATATTAATGTTTCAGTGTCTTAAGTTTGTGTCAGATGCAGTGAAATAATTCAAGGCGGCGCAAGCTCGCGAAGTTTACAACTAACAAAATGAATGCGAATCATGAAGAGCCACCGGTACTTCTATCGAAAAACACCAAAAGGACCTTACTCATGCGAAACGCCATCAACCAAGAGACTCTTAAGAAACAGTCTCGTCTCCTAGAGAAAGAGAAAAGTTCAGAGGAAAGGTTATTTCTAAAGAAAAAGGAACATCTTTTACAACGTCAGGTGACAAGGGGCTTAGAAACCAGTCAAAATCGACCTTCTTCTTCTCGCAGCTTAAACTTGGAGAACTCAGTTACGAAATGGAAAAAGGCAACAGCTTTGTCTAAAGAATGTTCTCAATCTCATATGCCGAAAAAAATAGAGGTCAATCTAACACCTATGTCTTCTGGGAAGTTGGAAAACGCGCTGAACAAATGGAAAAACGAAACCGCTTCAGCAAGAGAATCAACTCAATCTCCTAAGCCAAGGAGGAAAGAAATTGTTGGAAGTAACCGGCAAAGGCGTTTGCTTTCCGCACTCTCTTTGCAGTCCGATGAGGACGAAATAGAGCCAGTTCCCCTCAGGTCTAGAAGTAAAACATTCTCAACTTTTAGTTCTACAGTTCCTCTTCCTGACATACACGCCACGTCCAACGGAATAACAGGACTGAAGAAATACAATGACACACAGCTGCCAGATAGTTTGGAAATTTGTCAAGAAGATGATTGGAAACCTTTGAGAGAGTGTCGATATTTGCGCACCAGTTCAGGAGAGGAAGAGCTCTGTGGTATTTAGAATCAACGCTTAACTACAGAATAGAGTAAGAATTGAAAAAGAAACATCCATACAACGAAATTGAGCATATTGAATTCACCATTGATTTAGCTTTGGTCAGTTGATAAAACATCAATGCCAGTCTGACTATTTCAGAAAGAATCAAATGAGTCTTAATTTCGGTTCTTAATGTGCTAAATATTGAACTCCATGTTTTTGACATTCAATATCAGGTAACTAGCCATAGAAGGGAGACTTTTAAATATCTATTCCTTCTAGAAAGTGAATTGAGATTCTTTGGCTCGCGTGAGTTGTTCATGGAGCTCCAAGTTCGTCCTTTTTGTACGTAAGAACAATGTATTTTTAATCAATTAATGCTAATGGTGATTCGTCGCCTAACGAGCTAAGAAACACTCCAAGAGGTCTGGTTGGGGAGGCAAAAGTTTAATGACGATCATTTGTCTCAAACGATTGAATTTTATATTGTTGAATAACACAATTGCTTTGTTTGTCAGAGAATGGAACGATATTAATCCACTGGCTTTACATGCAAATTTGAACGACTTCTATCGGTCAATTAATCGGCCAGGTCTTTCTCTAAATCGAAAATATGGGAAATAATAATCCGCCCTTAAACTTTAGTTCTAGTGACTGAAATTTTTCTCTCCGTTACCCACGCATTTAGATAGATAGATAGTTTATTGAAATATCATATTGCAGCCCAAAGGCTAAATTGCTTATTATTTTACAGATAAAAATACATACAGATAAAATTACTATAGTACAGGTTATGTGAATGTGAAAGCGATCTTCGTAGTAATGAACACTACTTGAGCAGTAGTGAAAAAAAGGCCCGAAAAAAATTCTGGTCTGTATGGGATTTGAACCCATGACCTCTGCGATACCGGTGCGCGCTCTACTAACTGAGTTAACAAGCCAACTGGGAGCTCCCACTTGGCTTGTTAAGTTAGGTTAGCTTAATCTCCCGAGCTAAGAATCGTAATATTCAAGAACAGGTCTTACAACTGAGCGATAAAAATTGACAACGTAGTAAGGGTTTAAACCCGCTCTTTAAGAAGAACCAAGAAGCATAATCTCTTACTGGACAGAGTCGCTCCTAAAATCTTAGCGGAGTTGACAATAGAGAGTTCCTTCCATCAACGATGACAGGCTCGAACGCGTGCCTGTTCTTCTTAAATTCGATGTTCATGACTTGACTCTTGTCGGCATTCAAGGTCATCTTGTGGTCGCACGACCAGTTATCAACAGCGTGAACACCACTCTGGATGTTACCCGGCTGCCTTCGCGGTACGAACTCGGCTACTTTAGTGTCATCCACGTATTTCCGGGTCAGAAAGCCTGAGACCTTGAGGTCATTTATCACTAATATAAATAACCAAGGGTCCAGCTTGGTGCCTTGGGGGACGCCAGCGGGGACTGGGCCTCATTCCGAGAAACATTCTACAGATAGCTTGACACGTTGTTGTCGGTCCACCTAACCTAGTGCGCGACGCTCTTAGGGATTGGTAAATTGAAGACCTTGCACACCAGCAGGGTGTGGTCGATGAAATCGAAAGCCTTCCTATAATCGAAGAGGACAACTCTCACAGCAGCTCCAGTACTTTCAGTAGCTTTGTTCCAGTTGTGTACCATGGATGTTAGGGCGTGAAGGGTAGAAGATTTCGGAGTTCCTCCAACCTGGTTAGAGTCGATAACATCCATTGCAGCAGGGCCCACATGAAGAAGCGACTTTGGACAGCTCCGGAGTCAGGAATATGAAGAGATATGACCTGCCGAACTATTTAATGTAACCAAATAAGTGTAGAAGGTAATCAGTGACGATGGCTGTTTTTTCCTTTTCCGCAACGATTAACCATTACTAAAACTTAAAGTTTGGGGTAGTTACACAGAAATAAAAAGCTTTTTCTTATACATAAAGGGATGCGTCGGTAGGGCTTGTTGCAAGATAATTGGTTTTACTAACTGAGTTGATAATGTAAATTGGCCCGGCTCCGTAAAGAGTTTCAATAATTGACGTTTGGGTTTCCCTTAGACGAAGAGCTAACGCTCAAAACGTCAGCTTTAGTTACTCATTAGGATGGTTGATTTTCATGATCAACTCAATTGATAAAACCAAATGTATTGTAAAAAAAATTAATTTACGAAAGAGTCCAAACTCCGTAGAAAATATGTATTAAATTTGTTAAATGAACCACAAAATCTAGCTGAAATAAAAGCTCCGAAACTTCTTAAATTTCCGAGCAAAGGGGTAACAAATTTATGCGAACGAAAGCTCAAAAACAACTGACTAAACCTCCGCGAAAATAAACTAAAAGTACGCGAAAAATGTCTGCATCATTTTTTCAACGTCAAGGTTAAAATTCTTTGACATGATTGGCTAATTTGTAAAATCCCGCGCGCCGCGCGTGAATACAAAAAGAATACAAAGAGGGAAAGAAAGAGAAAAACTGTTACTTGAAATTTAAAAACGAAAGAGATTTTCTACATGTGTCTCGCATTTCCTAAACAGACGCGTGTACTCCAACAGCCAGAGCTTAAATGTTTTATTTAATTTTTTTCGGTTACCAAGATGTCTTTAGATACGTCATCAGAGTATCATCGCAATATTTTAAGGACTTCATGGTAAACTCCTTTTTTTACTATTTTTAAATCAAATCGAAGGCATTCCCGCTGGTCTGTTCCGTTACAGATCTCAGATGACGTCAGTCTGCGGTAAAAAAACAGAAACTAGCCCATAATTATTGTAAATGAGTGTGAAATTGATAGTCTTACCATCTTTTGACGTCTTCAATAATCTACAATGAGTGGTAAAAGTTTGAGTGTGTTTCATTATTTTCCCTCATAGTTGTTAGAGTTCGACTCCCTCACTCCCTCCCCACCCCTAATACAATGATAAATTTTCTTAATCTTACCTCGCTCTCGAGGTACAACGATTTTGGGAAGGGGGGTGGGGAGGGTATGGAATAAGAATTTCTGAGGGTCACAAACTGTTTTGAACCATGATTTTTGCGATGAGAAATCACATTCTTCCTTAAAACGAATCGAATTTGTACTGTTGCGTTCGACAATTTAATTTTCATTTTTCCTTTATGTTGAAACTGATATGCGACCCTTGAATAATAAGACCTTTCCAATTGAGCAAACCTACTATCGCACCAAGACCCCTCACGGCCTGGCAGAGGAGGGATCTGTCTTAGAGCTCCTCAATTTCCTAGTCATTTGCATAATCTCAACATTTTTTGGAGAAAAGAAGCGATGGTAAGATGATTATGAGGTTTGAGAGCTTTATTTTAATTAGCATATAAGCCCAAAAATATTACCGCTTCTTTAAAGAATCCTTTGTCACAGATGGTGTCTGCGTTCTAAATTAAGAAGATACTGAGAACGCTTTGGATAAAGCACACCGACTGATGATCGGCCTCGAGATGATATATCAAGAGACACAAGACAATTCTTTGTTTTGACAAGCCTTTTCAAAATAAAACTATTACTCGTCATGACAATTAAAGGAATCCTTTGTTTAGCTTTCGTTAATTAAAAAGCGTTTGAAACAAATGCAGTTTGAATGATAATCGAATATATATGTGCGTGAAATTTATGTTACTCAGTAAGCCTTTTGGAGAGTGATCTCGCGCAGACTACAGAATCAACATCTCTTTAGCAGAAAAGTACCACTTCAAAAGCTAACATGGACTTTGAAAAGGAAATGCAAAAGTCTCTTAAAGTTATTTTCTACAACATCAAAGTCCTAGAAACCAAAAGGAAGACGTCAGTCTCATGGAATTATTCAAAGAGTGGAGTTAGTCAGCGCAAAATAAGTTTACCAGTAAAGAGAGTTACTCCTAAGTTTGAAGAACAGCATAGAGTAGCAAGAGAGCGCTGTTTTAGTGTTTAAAGATGGTTGGGCAGAGTTGACATGGATATTCGTACAAAGAGTTTATGATCCATATTCTTCAAGAAGACTGTAGCAGACAGTCCCTGTCATGGATGTGAAAAGTGACATAACATGGAAACTGTGCTGAATCTTTGTTGACTGACTTCAGAGAAATGAAGAAGCTGTGGCTGTTATAACTTTCATTTCTTGATCTGATGGGCGAGTCATAAATCAAAAGAGCTAGTTAATCGCGTGGAGAAAAAACCTACCGATTTTCAACTTTTTCAGAGAAAGAAAGCTCATTTAATCATGTTGTTTATGTTCAGATTAATTATGTAATGTTCACGCAATGATATAAAGATTCTTTTTTGCAACACAAATTGAATGAGCTCACTCATGCACATAAGTGTTGTTCACGTGTAAAGCGCTCATCGACCGCTAGAAAAAGTGTGAAACCTCTCATTCTGAGGCTACATGTGATATGTAAAGGACTGATGTGAATAAAAAATTGAATTACATAAACGTAACATTGTGATGCTTTCTTGAAAACAGTTTCCTTCTTCAAATACTCTCAATCAGAAAATTAACTTGAGTGATCTCGAGCATGGAGAAATTTTCATGGTTGGACGGTCGGCCTCACGATTATTAAACCGACTATACGTAGTTTATTTGACACTTTAAACTTTTGATCCCATAGTAACCTGCGCTTGAAACTGCCGCTCTACTTCGAGTTTTTTTTATAAGGTTGTGACAGAAATTTAGTAGAATGTCAAAGGACGCACGTGAGTGTCATACCATTCCATATTACGTAACTCACGTGCAGTTCCACCCTATCCTGTGTTATATAATTTTCATAAGTTTAATGTGCAATGTTCGTTCCAGGAAGGCGAAGAGGGGGCGAAAGGGAGGAAGGGGGAGGGGGGGGCCGAGGGCGAGGGAGGGGGTTTCCTATTATCATATTCTCTCGCCCAAACCTCCTCTTAGCTTTCAGCAGCAATCAATTATTTCTCTTTGTCGTCTTGGAGAAAAAAAGGATCTGTTTCCAATCTGCAATCATCCCACCAAGGGAATGACGGGAAAATCTACCGAGAAAATTCCACTTTTCCCGAGACTTAAAGTTTGGCGGTAAAAAGGGCCTGGGACTGAAACTGCGATCGCAAAGCATGCATGGATTGTTTGGCTGGACAGAAATCAAAATGGCGTCCATTGCGAATGATAGTAAGCTCTCAGAAACTAAAGAAGAAGGCTTTATTTTAACTGAAGACGATATACCTGGGGCTGTTTTGCCAAACAGAAATGTAGAGGCATGCAGTGTGGTACAGCTAAAGCGCTGGCTGATTTGTAGGGGAGCGAAAACAAGTGGTAAAAAGTCAGCTTTAGTCAGCAGGTAAAGGGTCAAATTCAGCTTTTTCGTAGCTCTTTCTTTTGCTTACATAAAAACCATTAATATTTCTGATGGAAAACATATTCACTTAAAGATTTTATACATTAAATCGTCTGCTTAGAACTCCATTAACATTATTTAAAATCGTTTTGCATAGGGTAAAACACTATGTAGAAAATGGCCTTGACAAGAAATATCTTAGAGACCCCGACAACGGCGCTAATATTATGAAGAAAAAAGCAGATCTTGGTTTGCTTGATAAGAAAGAGCCTCAAACAAATGGAAAATTTCCAAAAGAAGGTTTCAACTCTGATCTCAATGCTCTCCCTAAAGTATCATTTGGAACCATCTGGCGTTACATGATCGACTCAGTTGACTCAAAAAAACAACTCTCAACTGCTAAACCTCTTGTAAAGGGGTTCAATTTTTATAAGTCTGGGAACGTACATTCTATTCACCATTTAAAGGAAAGTGGGAAGCACTTTATAAAGAGCCAAGTTCTCTCATCAATGAAAAAGAACTTAATATACCAATGTCAAATAGTAATGTCAAGTATTGGAGGAGTACTCAAAGCATATTGTGGTTGCCCAGCAGGAATAGACGGAAGATGTAATCATGTGTCTGCAACTCTCTTTGCCTTGGATGAATATTGCAAAGAAAGAGAAAAGATCTCCATAGAATCATGTACTTCTAAACCATGTAAATGGAATATCCCAAGGAAACGAAAAGGTCCTGTATCACCAATCTCAGCCATGTCATTTCATAAACATGACTACAGCAAACAAATTAAGACTGACAGAACACCAAATATCAAGAAAGGGAAAGATGTTCAAGCTATACATCAGAGAGAGTGGTCAGATGCCAAAGTGAACAATATGTTACAAACTATCAAAGACTATCAAACCAAAAGTGGTAACATTGTTGGCTGGAGTCACATACTGCCACAAGAGGTTAAAGAAGAAGACACCATTGTTTCGCCACTCAAAGTCCTTCCACCATCCCTAAGGGAAATAAGTGAAAAATGCAAAGAAATTGAGAAAAAGTTGAATCTAGAGGAAAAGGAAATTACCAAAGTTGAGCAAAAGACTAGAGGACAATCAAAGGACAAGCTTTGGAATTATCACAGAAAGTGTAGAATAACAGCTTCGAAATGTTACCGGGTTGCCTCTTTGAAGCCCACTACATCACCAACAAAGGCACTTGCAGATGTCTTACAGTATAATAAACAGTATCAGAGTTTTGCAATGAATCAGGGTTTAGAGAAAGAAGAAGAAATTGAAAGATTATATGTTACATCAAAGCATAACTCAGGCTACAGGAATCTTTCAGTTGAGCCATGTGGGCTTTTTATAAGCCAAAGCCATGGTTTCTTAGCAGCCACCCCTGATGGTCTAGTGTCAGATCCTCATGTTTCCCAACCACTTGGACTTCTTGAAATGAAATTGATACAGTTAAATGACAGTGAGAGTCTTAGACAAGGTCTGCTTCAAAGAAGAATATGTAAGGACTGTGGTGACAACCATCTAAAGATGAACACTGGACATAAGTATTTCTATCAAATACAACAACAGATGTTTGTAACCCAGCGTAAATGGACAGATTTTGTAGTCAAGGGATCAACAGGAAATGAGCTATACATTGAGCGAGTCAACTTCAACTCTGAGTTTTGGGAAAGTGTTCTTCCTAAACTTTGCAATTTCTTTCAACAACAAGTTTTACCAGAGATGTCTTATCCTCGAGTCAAATATGGGTTAGCAAGATGTCAGTTGAGATTTGAATAGACTGTGCCTAAATTGATTTAAATGAATTCATTTAGAACAGTGTAAAAGAAAACCTTGCAGTCTTGAATATAAGTTGCACAATTTTTATTATCTTGGACATAATGGGTCTACATGTAGTGTAACCTTTAAAAAGGCTAAAATACTAACAACAATAACAGGCACTATTTATTGAAATAAGTGGCTTTTAAATACCTGTGCAGTTATTGTAATTTCAAAGTTTAATAAACCACAATAGTTGTCACTGGACAAAAGAATACAAAAGAGGCAAAGTATAATATATTTAGTTATAGTTAAAGTTAATGCATCAAAGTGTAGACTGCACATGTGTGGAAAACAATTTATCAGATCAAAACGTCAAGCAAATATATTATCATGTAATGTATTATATTCTGCAGCTTTTGTTCATGTTTAGAATAAATAGTTTTGTTTCATTTTGCTTTGTGCTCAATCCTGAACAGTTTAATGACAGTACCATATATTTAAAGTGGTCTCTGTCAATTGCATTTGTTTTATAGCAAGACTAAAAACTATTCTGGTCGGCATTGTTGTCAGAGTAACTGCTGTCAGTATCAGTAGTAGATACAACAACTGATGCGACTTTCCTTTTCTTTGGCACAAAGTCATGCTTAAAGATTTCTCTCCTTGATTTTCTCTCTTTTGTCCATGGAAATATTGTTGGCAGATGATTTCTGCTGAGTTTTTGGCCACTTTCGAAGTGTTCAGAACAGATTCTCGTTTGGGAAGAATCCAGCTTTAGCGATTCGTTTCTAAGCGATACTTTGTAGTATTTCCGAGCCTTTTCGCACTTGGGAATCCTGTAATATTCCAGATTTGGTTTGTTTCTAAAGTTGTTGGTACACTGGGGCACACAACAGTTAAAATGATGTGGCATTTTCCTTCAAAACAGCTTTCAATTAGTCTCTTTTGAACAGGATAAATTACAACACATGTATGTCAACATGTCTTCCTGTCCAGCCAATCAATCCATGCATGCTTTGCGATCGACATTCGGTCCCAGGCCCTTTTTCGTTTTGTTACCGGCGAATTTTCTAGTACATGTTCCGAATGACAGCATATTTCCAGTGTGCGACATGAGAAAAAAGGCGACAGAGAGTGTTATCAGGACATCCTAGTTAATTTAAGTATGACTTAATGGGCTTTAGCCTCCTCTAAATAGATTTATCAATAAATGTTCGAGTAACTACGAAATTCTCATTATTATTATTATTAGTGAGCTAATACCAATCGTCGGTTTAGAAAAACAAGTTTTGCCTACGATACTTTTTTTTTTTGCGGTGTACTTTCCAAGCAGGCAAATAAGTGCCAAGAAGAGCTAACAAAGTAAACACTTTAAAACCCCTCCTTAGGTCCAGTTTACGTTCCTGGTTTCAAAGTTATGCTTTACTCGATTTAAAAATCAGGAATTTGTCTGAATTACTTGGTCTACAAATTAATAAATCATTAGCATCGTAATGGGCGCAAGAACGGATCCTGTTCCTCTAAGTGTAGAAGTGTTTTGTTACATTGTATCGAGTTGTTTGCCTTAAAATGACGCGTACATGTTGTCCATATTTGACATTTCCTACTTCAAAGTCTTCATACTAAAATCTCCAAGCTGAAGTTTCAATCCTTTACGAAAAGCGAGAACCAAAAGGCGAGACGTTCTCATGTCGCAAGATGAAGAAACTGCCTCACGATTGGTGAGTCATTTTTTTGCGATCAAAAATTTACCAGCAGCGTCTAAGTGATCACCAAAAGAATCAGTTTGTTTGGACAGAAAAAAAAAACACGAAGGGACAGTATTATTTCGAGGCGGGACAAGGGCGTCCAAAGATGGAGAAAATTGAAAACGCCTGCAAATGGCGATTATGGAAATTGAAGCTATGCTTTTCAAGATGGACAGACTGTGATGTTGCTCTTTCAGAAGACGACAGTAAGAGAAACACCAGACCCACATCATTCATATTGTAACAATTCTCCGATTGGCGTCTGTATATTGCATCAGGAATTGATGTTACATTTGACGTTTTAAAGACACAAACAAAAAGCAAAAAGCTTTAAGTTCACAAACACACTCAGCGCTTTTGTTAGAATGTCATCACCTTGCTTTGTTTCAGTTTCCATGTTTGTTTCCCACTGTTTTAAAAGTGAGCATTTGATTAGTCACTTTGGGCGCGGCTATGCCAGATAATAGTTTGATGCATGTTGTGAAATGTTGACGTAGGTTAATTCAAGAGGCTGCTTTCACCAGGCAGACATTTCTTTGATCAAAGCAGGAGGACATCACGATAATTGTGAAATGAGCTGCGTCTGTTAAACTGAAGACTGAACTCACCCGCACCGCGTGAATTACGACTCTTGACAATTTTTCAGATGGAAAACAAAAAAATCAGAGGCAATCGAATGGACGATGATTTACGCGAGAGGAAGATTTCAAGAGGTTTGGTGCGACATGTTTTGACAAGGAACACTGGTGACAGGATTGCTTTGGGGAGAGTAACAAAACAACTCGACAAAGAAAGGATAGCAAAGGAATTGGATTACCAACAACAGAAACAGAAGCTTCTACTCCAGAAGTTTGAATCTCAGATGAAAGAGCGATCCGCGAAGGATTCTCAAGAAACATCAAACGAGCTCGATGGCACAGCGGGGTTGCGAAAGGCGACTGGAAAACATGTCATGTCGCGGTATAGAAGTTATTCCGAGCTGGAAATGTCGAGCTCGCAATTGCAAAGGTTGAAGTGTTCTGCAGAGATTCCTGAGGCGCTTGAGAAAAAAGCGAAAACAAACAGGGCACTCAATTATTCGCGACTGGCAGTCGAAAAGAGAGCAAACGAAACTAACCGGCCGAGGTTACGCAAAACAGGAGTGATTAAAGCTCCGGAGCGTTCAGGCCTTGTTGAGGAAGTGAGAATGAAGCGGACTAAGACGCTATCAGATATTTTACCTCCAGTTATTCTTCCACCAATATTTCAATCTGGCGCAAGTTCATTGGAAAAGAGAACTGTTCTGGAGAACCAGCGGACACAAGCAAAAGAATCTTTTTCCGAGGGTTCTGGCTCTAATCAGACACCAATGATGACTGAGATAAGAAAGTTGGAGGACCTGGAGGACTGTCGATATCTTAGAAAGAGCAATTTTCGATAAGCTCAGCTAAGCATGTATAACCATGTGATGCAGGAGTAAAAGTTTTATTTTAAACTAATTCCTTTTGTGTAGACGAAGGAAGTGAAATTAGTTACTGAAGGGGAAATTAAAGAATCAAAGGAAGGGGGGTACGATTTCAAACTTTACGGACCATTTATTTTCTATCAACTGGGGGGGGGGTGGTCTTAGGAATTTTTTTGGGATTACAGAGCTTCAGGGGTGGATCAGATAAATTTCATGGTGACACAACCAAAAATTCTCCAACTCACCCTCCCCCCTCCCCCAAGTAATATATCATGACCGGTCCCGGTCCTGGTCCCGGTTTATTTTGAAAATTATTTCCTTGCGGTCATTAGGCCTTCACCCTCCATGTTGTGCATATGATCCGAAGCATGGAATATATATTGGAAAAATAAAGATTGGGTAAGATATAAACATTTCAATTTAATCACTGTTACACCCTTACATTGACCAGTGAAATAAACTCGCTAACACTTCTCTCGGATCTTACGCATCTTCAGACTTTTAAGATGCATTAAGATGCAAGACTCTAACGGAAACACGTCAAGATCTCAAAAAGGCAACTACTGCTTGACACATGATCACTCGCTATTTAAATTAAATGAATATTTTTTGTTCATCTGAAGGACTTCTGTACTGTTTAATGCTGCTCAAATCAAGTATTGAGTAGCTTAATGGCACCTATATTGATAGGGTCCTATAATTAGAAATAACTAGCTGTACCTAATGTGATTCTTTGCATTGAGAAGCACGAATAACACAGTTGGCATGGCCTTGAAAGTTAAAAATGCTGAGTTCTGCATTCTTAAACTAGTCAGACCCGGGTTCATCCACTTTGTTTCATCTTTTCTGCGGACCCACGGTTCAACAGGTGTTTTGTATCTATTGTACTTCTGGGCGGGCATAATGGATTTTGTTTATAATGCTGGTTTTGTTCCTAACTAATCATTGTCAAACCACAAATACATTAAGCAATTACAATCAAGAAAACTACAATCAAACTGGCCGAGAAATGACGTCAGTGTGGTAATAAAAAACTGTGATTACCATAAATTGACTCGTTCATGTGACATAGTCAAGAGCCCTTAGGGTCGAGTGGGGTTACGGGAAAAAAGCCTCAAAAGATGGTGCATTAAATAGTCCTATAGCAAAAGGGTTTTGTGCCTTAGACTGACGGTTTGGTATGGAATTTCACCTAACTTTGTCAAGAAAACAGGAGGGGGGGGGGAGTAGTGGTTACGGTTTAGGATGTTTACCACTGCTTTTAATCGGATTTTGGATAGAATGAATTATAAACATACAAAAAAACTATTCATTGTGTGCACTTAACCATCAATGGGTGTTTGTCAAGCCTGTGAACAATAGCGAAATGACGGCATGACTAAGGTAAAATAAAACATTTCTATTGGTTACAATCACATTGAGTAGTTATATAAAAAAGTCTAAGTAATGGTGGTATTTTTAGAACCGTCTAGTCGTTGAGGAGGTTTGAATGAACCCACGTACAACCAAAGAGTCGGTAGAAATCTTAGAGGATGGACTTCGAGAGAGAAATGCAGAGGGCTTTCAAAGTAATTTTTCACAACATCGAGGCCATAGAAAATAACAGAGTAAGAACACCACCCAAGTTGAATAACCCCGTAAAGGGAATCAAAAGATGGCAGAAGAAACTGCAATCTCTGAGTTTATCGGATTTACGAGCTTCCTCCGCGGAAGAGATCAGTTCAGCATCAGATTCTTCGTTCAAGAAACACTCTCTTTAGCCTTCTTGGCAGATGAAGCACAGTTTGACTTTTAATTTGAAATGTGCACCAACTGCACTGTTCGAGAGAAAGACACTTTCCTGATTTAAGAGTTGAAGCCATGGGCGTCACAGTCCACCTGTGAAGACGAATGCATTTGGGCCGTGTCCAAGCAGGCCCATAGCTCATGAAAAGTCACACCGAGGTGTATGAATGTCCACTTAACTTCAGCTTAATGAGCTTGAATTCAACATGATGAACTGATGAAATCATATCTTACTTGTCTTGAATTTTTTTGGTATATCAAGAACGGTTGATATTAATTCAACTCCAGATTATTGACTTGGAATTCAACAGGAATTCAAGACAGCTCAATTATTGTGGTAGTCAGTTTCTAGTCACAGCTTAAAGTTCGCATTAGCGCTGTAGTTAAACTCTCCTTTCGAGAAGTTTTAGACAGCGTTATGTAGCGTTTAATTGAATTGTTTTAAGGATATCTAACGTGGCTTCAAGCGCTTCAGGGTGTGCTTTGCAAACGAATTTGCATTGCGATCGGTGAACTAAGAAGAAGGAAAATTTGTCCATCGCTAGCTGTCAAATAATTTCCTTTCATAATTTACCTCGCCTATTTATAGATTGTAAGTGTAATCAGTTCATTTTTTTTTTTCAAGTCCTATCAACCTTATATTGTTTCCCCATCATTTCTTCGTGTTTTTTATTATTAACTAATGTAGTTTACAATCTACAAACAATGACAAATGAAATGAAAACTCTGTGGAACATTCCATCTCGTGTGGTGGCGCGTACAGTAGGAAATTGTAAAATACATTTTAAGAAATTCGTTCAGAACCTTACAATCTGTTCGTTATGGCTTATGGAGGGAATAGATTTACTTTGTACTCCACAGGGGCGAGTGTTTGTCCATGTAGAACAGATGTATGCTATTCAAATAAAAAATTTGTGCTTGAAATTTGCCAAAGTACAATTCTTGGATCATTGAGGTAAAATACCTGGAAACGCTACTTTTCACCTTCGTGGACGTTTTAATCACATCTTTGAAAGTCGTCTGCAGTTGAAAAACGTGAATGTTATTCACTGATCTGGAACGGAATTACGAGAGCCACTTCAAATCGTCATTTCTAGAAGCATTATCTTTTTCTCACGTGATACGGGCGTGGCAAAGCGTGCGACCAAACATTTTGCCATTGAAGCTCAATCCTTGTGTCCGGACATAGACATTTCATACGTAAATCCGGTACGCTATTTCCTTTCCTCAGACGTCTGGCACCTCAGACGGAGTCAGGTCTTTTTAACCATTTGACTTTCATGAGTGACCAAAACAGAATTCCTCCTTACAAAACCAAGAAACCAAGAAGATAGGTGGTGAGAATAGAGAAAAATATCAACTAGGGGATTTTCAGTTGATCCGATACCAAATTCTCCAAACAGACACCATGAGAACTCTATGGCAGATAGTAAGGAGAATTTATAATGAGATCTTGGGTGTGAAAGGGTTACGTTGAGCAGAAAATGTCTTTCCGATGGCAATATAGAAGACATTTCACAATCAAAAGAGACCGAAACTAAATTTTTTAGATCAGAATAAAACAAATTTCTGAAGGTAATTCTTGGAGGGAAATTTTTTGTATCCAGATAACTGCTACCAGCAGAAAGGGCATAAAAAAATGGTCTTTGTGACTAGATCTAAAGGCTGAGTAGCTCTGTTCGATTTCGAGCTCTCTCGCCCGTGTAAAAACGTGAGAAACGGTCCGTTCAGTTCTAAACACACACCCATTAGAGCATCATTAGTGAGAACAAAAGCAAAGCGTTTAATTATTGTCTGACTCAGACAGCGGACAGACGTACATGCACATGTACGCGAACATCATTGCACAATCTCATCTCCGCTTAGATTTTTTTAGTACCTTCGTCAGGTCTCTTTTGTGCTGCTTTGTTCATCTGTGCAGTATCAACGTGCTGCTCCGATTTAGTGCCGTCGATCAGTCAAACTGTATGACAAGCGCGAGACTGCTAGCTCCTCAGTTAGACGGTCGGTCACACTAATTCAGTTTTTCAGTAATTATTCTGAAATTTGAGACCGATTCAATGAACGAAAGATTGCAATTTCGTACTAATTTCAAGTGAAATAATGCGTATCGACTTTTTATTCCAATATTCAAGGAGACGTGAAGAAAAAGTTTACATATTGATGAAATGTAAAGTTTAATACCCTAAGTGAAACTGCGATTTCAGATGAAATAGGAACATTGTTTTTAGTCATTCCGCCAGAGTTTAAGACCCTCAAAATCGTGTGGTGGTCAAACCTTTCCTTTGAATAAGGGCTATTTTTTCGTCAATGACGTGTCTACTCGGTCATGCATTCTATGTCACTTTCAAGTAGTTATTTGTTGACAATGCTCAAATTTTGTACGAGCCTTCAACCATTAGCGGGTTGTTTTCGTTTACCCACGCGACTGAGAGCCGATTTTCGACTCACTTTAGATAGTAGTGTTTATTTTTTTACATCCGTTTAGATCGTACTTTGTTAATTTGGTGCGTGGAGGGTGGAGGTCTTAATTATTTCGAGTTGAAAATTTTCCAATCACTGCACATTCACAAACGGTCGTTCTTTAATTGGCATTAGTTACTGTGCCAACAGTGTGTGTAAATTCGATTGCAACCATCGTACAATCAAAAGTCCAGAATCACCTTTACTTCCCGAAGACTAAGCAGCAGTCAAGAAAGGAAGAACTTGAGTGGAGGGATCAAGGCACTGCTTTACTGCTTCACTTGGCTTAAGGCGTATCACTGCCTTGAGGAGCTGAACTCACATCAAACTCGGTTATGAAATTCTTAAACTGCGAGGATCGTACAGCTTTCCCCATCCAAAATCGCACACTTTTTTTAAATGAACACAAGAAAAGATTATTATGTTTCGGGGATGAGAAGCGGACCAAAGACATGTCTACTGACCTGAGCTTTGTTGCATATTATGCCGGTTTTTGTCGCACAACATAATTGCATAGCTGCTCAAAAGTCACTAGCGCCCACTACCTATAACCAATCTGTAATCTTTTGATAACATATAGGAGCATCGACTTGGACTTGATGATAGCTATCATCAAGTCTTACTCTGTAGTGAGAGAGTGAGTTTCCCAATTACCTTCAAAACATTCAAAATATTACAAGCTATTTTTTTAACGCCAATCACAGAAGTGTTTCCCTTTGCTTACGCTCAAGGTTTCAGTCAGCGAGCTGGCAATTATTTGAAGAGAACCAATCAGATTCTTGTATTCATACTCCGATATCAAGATCAGCACGCACTAATGGTCTACACTAGAAAAAGCCCTTAGTAAAGAGCGGATCGGAGTCAAGACATTACAACCTGTCTCCTTTTCTATTTCGGGTCTGCTAAATCCGCCTACTAAATCCGCCTAAATCTTTTAACCTCTTTCATAAATAGACCTTATAAACTACTCCAGGCATAATCCAACCTTTCTCGTTCTCTCGCGCTCAGTCACACAACCATTCATTGAGTGTTTATTGCTTGGCAGACAAGACGAGGAAAGAAAAGAAAGGAGCTATTCTATACTTTTTCAGTTGATAAAAAATTGTGACCGATATTGAAGTCCTGCAAGTATTCTTGTAAAAGATATGTTTATACTTAATGCACTTGAACTTTTGTTAACAAAAGCTTGGGTGTAAAAGAGGCTGGAAAAGCAGGCTTAACGGGCCAAAAATAGAGAGCTGCCACCCAAGGCATATTGTCGAGAACCCTGATTCTCATGGAAGAGATAACAAGTGAAGATGTTCTAATAGGGACCAATAAAGGTTTTCACGAAGAACGGAGTGGGGATCAGTGGTCGCCAACAGAGTACAAAGAAGGAACTATAGGAAACTGACCGCCAGTTATCGGCAAGTGAGGAAGGGGGAGAGGAGGGAAAGGGGGAGAGGAGGGGAAGGGGGAGACGAGAGGAAGGGGGAGAGGAGGGGAAGGGGAGAGGAGGGGAAGGGGAGAGGAAGGGAAGGGGGAGAGGAGGGAAAGGGGGAGAGGAGGGGAAGGGGGAGAGGAGGGGAAGGGGGAGAGGAGGGGAAGGGGAGAGGAGGGGAAGGGGAGAGGAAGGGAAGGGGGAGAGGAGGGAAAGGGGGAGAGGAGAGGAAGGGGAAAGGAGGGGAAGGGGTAGAGGAGGGAAAGGGGGAGAGGAGGGGAAGGGGGAAAGGAGGGAAAGGGGGAGAGGAAGGGAAGGGGGAGAGGAGGG